GTTTTAAAGACAATTTCAACAACTTCCAAAGACATTATCGATAATGATGATTGAACTATTTTGATATCCTCTTGAGCATAACCTTGAATCCATGTCTCATATAGAGAATAATAGAAGTGTTTGGTTCCACAAGGTGCCCTTCCACAACTCTAACTTGATAATTGTGTATTATTGAAGCAGCCACGGCTTTCATTTGAATGAAAGCCGCTTCTTTGCCCAAACAAGTCCTTGGCCCGGCATTGAATGCCAAGAACTTGTAGGAAGGCTCGTGCTTCACTGTCCCTTTCTCTGATATCCAACGTTCAGGTTTGAATTCAGACGCGTCCTCTCCCCATATAGCCTCCATCCTCCCCATCGCGTAGAGCGAAAACATTATTTTCATTTTGGGGTGGACCACGTGTCCGCTTGGGAGAGTGTCCACCTCGGTCGGTTCCTTGTGCTGGAAGGGGACTGGTGGGTACAGTCTCAGAGACTCGCATAGCGCAGCATGGAGGTAGACTAGGGGCTTGAGTTCGTCCGGCTTAAAAATTTTCCATTTCTCCGACTGCTCTTTCGGGATTAGTGTTTTGAGCTCGTCTCTTATTTTTGACTCGACAAAGGGGTGGGTAGAAACCAACCACGTGAACCAAGTGAGGGCCGAGCTGGTTGTGTCTCGGCCCGCGATCATGAGGTTCATGATCGTGTCTCTCAAAAACTTGTCATCGTCTATCTTCAACCCCATCATCATATTGTCATCGTCACGGTTGCTTCCTCTCAAGTAAGAGGTGAGGAGATCACAACCCTTGTTGTCTTCATCATCCTTCTCCTTTTCTCGCGCCAATTCATGCCTTTTACGGGCAATGTATTGCCCGATGACATCATCCAACATCCTAGAAGCCTCGCGAAGCTTTCTCTCCGCCCCAACTCCCACCCACCTTTGGGCCTTCCATATCAACTCTGGCACGACATGTCGGACAAGAATGACTTCCTCCGCGTCGTCCATTGCCCTAGAGAACCGAACCTCTGGGAAATGGACAGACACGCATCCAGGGTCATACCCTGTGAAGAGAATACAACTAGTGTCAAACGTGAAGCGTTGGAACAAGTCTTGCAAATCCAAGACCAACCCGTTGTGGCACGCATGTTCCAACACCTTCACCAGCCCCTTCTCCACCTTCGCCCTGCTCGTCTCGAGCAGAAACCTATGGAACCGCGCGTGGGTGATGAACCCACGCGCGATCTTCCTCTGGACCCTCCACGCGTCCAGATCCGCGTTGAATATCCCGTCTCCCAGCACATCAAATATCTCCTTGAACTTGGGGCCTTTCGGGAAGTTCAGGAAGTTGGCGCTCATGATGTGGTGCACATTGGCCGGGTCAACGGTGACAAGGATGTCCATGTCGGCGAGCCACGGCCCCTTGTAGAGGAACGTCCCCCCAGACCGCTTCATCATCATCGTTACCCTCTCGTGGATTCGGTTCATGTAGTATAGAGTGCCTGGTAACATGCCCAACAATGGATAGCTTCGAGGAAGGCCCTTATTACTGGTTTCTTTCCTCCATAGGTAAAACAATAAGAAACATAAGACTCCTAGCAATATCTCAGGGTACCCTAAAAGCACTATTTCTGCCATTTTAGTTCTTTTTTTTCCTTCTACTTTCGAAATTACTTCTGTTTCTTATTGACGGTTGCTTTCACTATATATATATATATATATATATATATATATATATGTGTGTGTGTGTATATATATATATATATATATATATATATATATATATATATATATATATATATATATATATATATATATATATATATATATATATATAGCATTGAGTAGTTTTAAGAACCGGAGATGATGTCTACACTCCATAATTTACTAATGGCACTCCACATTTTATATTTTTTAATAGATAGACAATAATAGCCTTTTAACTAGAAGACCCCATTTTCAATTAATTATAGTATATTTAATTTTATTTTACGACTTTATGATACGGTGCACTAATTAAAATAACTATTTGGTGTGTTTCTAAATACATAAACAAAAATTACTACGGAGTACAATATTACTCCCTCCGTCTTAAAATTAATTTCCCATTTTGACTTTCACAGTCAAAGTTTTTAAACTTTGACTGTATATTACAGAAAAAGTATATTGAATTTGTATATAAATTTAGTATGAATAGATTCATTTTGAAACATAGTTACTCCTATTTTAGTATTTATATTATCTTTTGCTTTTATTTTGGAAATTCTCCCATTTTTAGATTAAACTCCATCACTCCATTGAAAACACGAGTTTTAAAATTTGAATTCCATTATGGTATGTGTTTAGGAACATGGATTTAGATTTCAAATCTTAATTTGGCTAAAATTTCATGTTTGGGAAACTTAAACATTTTGGATTTAGATTTGATTCAAAATTCCTCTCATTAATAACAAAGTTGAATTTGAAGTGCATGCACCCCCTTGTCATTTGAAAAATTCAAGATTCTAAATTTTGAAATTGAAATGCATGATCGAAATGAAATACTAGTTTCCAAACACTATCTGAGTTAATTAACTAGTAGGAACTAGCAAAAACAATCATTTTTTAAAATCAATCTTTAACCAAATGAGACTATCATTAAGAGACTTGGCCAATCCCAAGGACCACTTCAGTTACAATCCTTCCAAATTGATCTTTTGAGTCCCAATATTCTTACTTCTATGTCTATATGCAGTAATAACTAGGGATAAAAAGGTAGTGGGATTGAGAAGGGTTTGTGTTGGAAAAGGTAATGTGGAAAAGATGAATGCGTTAATTAATGTTGTGGGTGTTGGGAGTTGGTTCATGAACTGCTGCTTCCCCACCTTTCCAATTCCCATCTTCTACTTACCATTTTGCATGCGTATGTACATTTATTCCTTGCTTTGTTCTATGCGTTTTTTTTGTCCATTTATTACCCTACTAGAAAAAGGAGTATGCCCCCAGAAAATTACTCTGAAATACTCTCGATTTTTTTGGTAATAATTCTCCAATTTTATAGTCACCTCGAGATATCCTAGATTTTATAGTAAGAACTCTCATTTCTCACATTATCCGAAATATACTTTGTGATCCTTAAAATTTATAATATTGTATTCCGAAGATAAATTTTGTCAATTTAGACGTTAGGATTAGAAGTTCCTTTGTTTTGACAAATTAAAGAATTTGATTTGAATTTGATAAAATAATGATTATCAATGTAAAATTTATTATTTGTCAAAGTAACAGAACTTTTATTCCTAACGGCCAAATAGACAAAATATAGGAGTACCATTGACATACATTATCGCAAATTTCAAAGACTCTTGGAGTACATTTTGGATAATGTGAGATCTGATGGCTCTTACGAGAAAATTGAAAGTATGCCTATATATATTTTAGATAATGTGAGACATAAGAAATATTACCGGGAAAATTAAGGATATTGTAGAGTAATTTATTGGTATGCCCCTTTACTTTTATGCATAAATAGGGTTTGTCACAAAATTAAAAAAAACACCTTGGAAATTCATAAAAAAGAGTGAAATATCAGGTTAAAAGAAAATACCTAGAAGGCTACAACAACAACAACAACAACCTAGTTAAATCCCACAAGAGTAGGGTCTGGGGAGGGTGTGTGTATGCAGATCTTGCCCCTACTCGAAAGTAGAGAGGCTGTTTCCAAAGAGACCCCCGGCTCAACGTCGAAAGTTGCATTACTTGACTAACTGCTACTTCATTAATTAAAGAAGCACAAACAGTTTAGAGATCCATTTTGATTTATTCCATCACACCCCAAAGCCAGAAAATGGTGAAATTTTGGCTCCATCGGAGATGATGGAAATAAAATACCTAGAAGGCTAGAATACATTATTCATATAGTCAAATTTTTACTCTATACGTCTCAATTTAAATCACATGTTTTGATTTTTGATATTTGACTGAAATTATTTTCAAATTATTTTATATGAAAATGATGTAGAATTAGAAAAATAAATTACATATTTAAAAAGTATATAAAAAAGACTACAAAACTAGTGGTGGTATAACTATATTATGTAAATAATGTTTGATTATGTAAATAGTAAACAAGCAATTTAATTTAAGACGGAGAGAGTGGTTTTTAGATATATAAATTTTACTTCCTCCGTCCCACATAACATTTCTTGTTTTCATTTTTAAGAAATTTAAGAAAGTATACTTTTGTGTTGACTTTTTAAAAATGACCTTGTATGTGATCGGTAAAAGTAGATGTTATGGATAAATTAATACTCGGGGTAATAAAAAATGTGACGTGATAAGTAGGTTAAAAATTAATAGGTGTAACTTTTAAATAGAAATAAGAAAAGTTTTTTTGGACAGATGAAAAAAGAAAAGAGAGATTTTGTGAGAACAAAGTATTTTTTAATTCAACCCCTAACAGTGTTACAAATCTAATAAAAAATTATTTAAATCAAATATAGTAAATCTAAATAGACCATATAATTTTCGTGTTTGACATTGGGGTCTACAAAAGGTGGAGTCTTAAAGTAACATTTCGGTTCCAACTTCCAGACTTGAACTCCAAGACAAATACCCTTTCCCAACTTCTGCAGACTTAAAACACCGTAAATATGAAGATAAAGCTCGGCATATGTATGTGCACATCATACATACATATGCAAGCTTACCCCTTTACATTACTAAAAGAAAATTCATATGAAAGATTAACACTATGTGTCTATGTTTGGTTCGAGAAATTTGAAAGGAAAAAGAAAATAAAATGAGCAAAAACGTATTTTTTCAGGTTTGGTTGGAGAAGAAAAGAAAAGTGGAAGAAAAAGAAAATAAGAAGACATTCTACTAAGATGAAGAAAAATCAAATTCCTCACTTTGGTGTGGAAAATGAAAAAATCATTTTCCTTTCTTTTCCATCCAAATTCCTCGAACCAAACATAATGCAAGAGAAACATTAAAACGGTCTATTATGACTTTTTAGATACGTTAGATTTTGAATTAATTGAGATAAATATTATGTCCACATTCATTTGATTCTTAATGTATTTTGAAAGTCTTAATAGACAATTATTTAGAAATGGAGAGAGTATGTGATTAAATAAACGGTGTAGTTTTTCTGGGTTGGGGTGATAAAAATAACTTGGGAATCCAAGAGAGCATCACAAGGGCTAAATGTCATATTTTGACACCCATATTTGATGGCATAAGCATTGTAGTGATACATTTTACCCAGTGATAAGATGAGATACTCAAATCTTATAACTCAGCTCACATAGCTGTAGTTCTCTGCCAAAACACACAATGAAATCGTTCGTCAAAACCCAAGAATCGGAAGGCCGGAAAAAGATTACGTAAAATTAGAACTCAAAAAACTATGGTTGAGGACTTGTATGGGGTTCAAGTCTTCCTCTTCTTGCTTGATTTGGATGAGGAGCCATTCTTGTTTCTCTTCTCACCCTTGTGGCTTTTGTCTGATGGCTTTCTGTTGGACTTCACACTGATGACACCCCCTGGGGTTACCTTTGTTCCACTTTGAAGGGCATTGTCGAAATCGGCTTCCCCGTCAATGATGGCATACCCTTGAAGTCGTTCGGGGTCCAATAGACCATCTGCTTTGGCGTTCATCTCCTCCTGGGTATCATAAAATCTCAAATAAGTACCTATTTTTTTCTAAAGATATTGTCAAGGAAACAACTCAACCAAAAAAGCCCAAGCGTATGATTGTAGGCACTGAAACGGTTTTATACTATGATACGATCTGTTTTTTATCGAGCCTACACGTGAACATTAACTTTTTAAAATTGGGTGGCTATGCAGTTCGAACACATGACCTCTACGCGAACAAAAAAATGTGATGCCTTATCAAAAAACAACTCAACCACAAGCTCAAACATGTAACTCAAGACTTCTAGGCACACCAAAGGGTTTCGTGAATATCTTTCTACTCTAAAAAATATAAACGTTGACACAAGATTTGGGGCTTAGCGCGAACCTGGACTTGTTTAGCTGCATTGTTAAGATCGTCGTCCAATGATATGGCATGAGGCTCCATCTTGATCTGCAAATAAGCAGAGATAGTTTCTTAGTTTGTTCCAAGTTGAGCAAGAAATGACATGAAAGAAAAACAAGGCACACGTCTTGTACATATGATGCTCAACACAATGTGCGACTAAAACACAATCAAATAAAATAGCACACATTTTGCAACTTTTTGAGCCACTTTGGCTGGGTTATTAGCCTGATACTTCTGAATTTTCTCAAATGGAAAAATCAAATATGTTTGGTAACATCCACATCTCAGATGAAAGGCACGTAAACTATACTGCTTTTTCTTAAAACTAATCTTTCTCCCCATTTTATCTTTCATTCTCTCCATTTTCCTCCGTTCCGTAGGTAGGGGTGTATACGAATCGAATCAAATATCTAGATATTCGATTCCTATTCGTTTGAAATGATATCTATTCGGATTCGTATTCATTTATAATCCGAATTTTTAAAAATATTCGTATTCACTTTGTTTACATATTCGATGTATTTGAATATTCGAATTCGAAAACTAGTAAAAGATTTTTCTTAAAGGCATTTCCTAGATATAGTAAGTTTTTTTATAAACTACGAGTAACATAAATTGACAAATTCATCACAAGACATCCAAAATGCTACCCATATTGCTACAAATTTCGAAAGCGTGAATGTGGCGGTGATTGAGAAAAAGAATAAGATTAGGGTTTTTTTTGAAATAAAATAAGATTAGGATTTGTTTGAAAGAACCAACATATACAAAATCACTAGGGTGTATTAGACTATTAGGGTATATTTATTTATTTATACTATTCGAATAATTCGAAATATAAACGAATCGAATCTATTTATATTTGTATTCGAATAAATTCAAATCAAATACTCCCTCCGTCCCTGAGTATTTGTCCAGTATTCCTTTTTTAGTCGTCCCACAGTATTTGTCCACTTTCCTTTTTAAGTAAGAAATAACTCATGAAAAGACTATTCTACCCTTCCCATTCATTTACTCAGTTCTCTCGATTGAAACCCCATTTACTCCACCCACTTTCTATCTTCGCGCACCCTAGATCTCCTACTCTAGATCTAAATGGGTTAGTTCTTATTTCTTCTTCGAAGATGGATTCACACTTGTACAGTTCTTTCTCCACTCCATTAAGTATTTCTTTCTTGTTCGGTGCTCCATCTCTGGCAGGTTTCTACAACTTCCAATCTTATTAAATATTCGGATCCATTGATAAAAAGCAATTTGTTTATGCTTATATCAATAATGAATTTTGGATATTTGATCAGAATTCTAAATATGAGAACCTATTCCACAGATCTTCTATTACCTCTAGCTTATTCTCGCATGCTCTGGAGTTGCGACAAGTCATCGCCCTTCGCTACTAAGGATTGGGTTCTTCGTCTCAGACATCAAAGGGTGGAGCGGCTCGACGAAACCAGGGTGGGGGGAGGGCCTGGGCTGTAGTGGACTGGACTAGAAGGGGTGGGGTAGTGAAGGACACCCAAAGTAAGGACATTTGTCAGTTTGTGACATTTTACACCTCACCTTGGTTTTAGTGCCAAATAGAAAGTGGACATAAATTCAGGGACGGAGGGAGTATTGGACTTGTATTCAGATTCGAATTTGGTTAAGGCGAACACGAATCATCTTTTTCGAATAGGAATCACGAATCAAATCATTTATATTTGATTTGTATGCACCCCTATCCGTAGCCCGTAGGTGGTGACAACAAAATATAATCTATTTCTACCCACTTTGCAGATACATTTAGTTTCTTAGATTAACTACTTTAGAAGGGAATAGCAAGACTCAGACCAAGAATTGGCCATTTGACCGTGACTAAGAAGAATTTATAAGAAACACTTTGATTTTTGAACTTTCTAAATCTTACAACTACCAAGTGACAATTCACTGATTCATGCAAGAATACGAGCAGTAAAAGAGTGCGCTTTAGAAAAATTAAAAGAGCAGTGACAATGTACATATATTCTTCTAGTAAACTTACTTCTTTAAGGCGAGATACAGTTGAATCAATCTCGTTGGAGGCAAGGTCATACAAGTACTTGTAGAACTTCTTCATCGATTTTCTGAATAGAGACAAAATTTGTTGTCTTTCTAAACGCATTTCGACCTGAAAAGTATTTAATGGACTCTTAATAAATATGTGCAGAAAAAAGTAATTATCTTTGCCGTGTGGTGACTATATATGTCATCCAACCTCAATTTGAGAAAAGTCTTTATCCTGTAAACCGACGCAAAGCAAAACAGAAGCTTGAAGATTGGAGATCGAAACTGGAAGTTTCTCTGAGAAATATAAGTGTGCAAGTATTGAGACGCAATCCATAATCTGCAGAGTTCAAAACATCACTCTGTTCAATTCATGTTATTAAAAAAGCAGAATCTCTCAGTAATTTTGAATCATATCAAGTTTGATAATTGAACTGACAAGTTCTATGAAATACATTCAAACAGGAATTTGAAAACCAAGTATACTCAATTGTAGTATGTCACAATGTGTTTGCCCAGTTTTCCTTTTTGGGTTGCCCCAACGTACTTGTCCACTTTCTCAATTAAGGCAAAGAAATGATGTAACATCTAATGTCTCATTTGCCCCCAACTCATTTACCCACACTCCAAAAGCAAGGGGAAAAGGAAACTTAGTCCCCTTTGGGCCTTTATTATAGCCTTTTTGGTCAATATGCCAAAAAGGGACCAAATGAACATGCTAGGACGGAGGGAGTTTATATGAAAAAGTTTTCCAAAGGCTTCTTGGTAATAAGATAAGATATTTACTACCACCGATTATTGCCTTTTACTTGATAGTAATGTTACCTGTGCTACCAAAGTTTCACCCATAGCAAACTCAAGTATTTGGAAATATTTCTATCCCGTTCGAAGTAGTGTAAATGCATAGAAAGGTGGAATGACAACAAGATCTCATACCCACGGAAAATCTACAATATTGTTTGTATAGGCTTCAAGCCTCTTCATATCATGGGGAGAAAAAACTCCATCAATTGATTTCAAAAATCCATCTGAATTGTCAGCATCCGTAAAATTGATCTTCGGGTCCAATACACTGCAAGAGAGGGCATCCATATGATATATTTACAAACACAGCAACAAACTGAAAGCACAAAACACATTAACAAACCTCATAGCAAGCATGTAGTCCATAGAACGAAAACTTTTATCTAGTAGCCTTGCAAATCTTTTTCTAAAATCTGTGGACAATATTACAGAAATATATTCACATCAGTGAAAAGAAAATGACAAAAGCCTAAAGTTTACGAGTTAAATAGTGCCTTTAGTTCACCTTGGTAAAAAGGACCAAAAAAGCCCCACTCATGGTTTTCGTTGATTTCTATATCATCGCTGTTCAATGGCTTTAAGACCATGCATGTGTGCTCGCCAGTCACATTATTCTGAACCATGACAGTGTTAACAGTTATTGTATCAGTAAAAATCAAGAGGCTCCAACAAAGAGAATATATAACAAAGACGCAAAACCATACTATAAGTATAAATCAAGAGGCTCCAAAAGAGAGAATATATAACAAAGACGCAAAACGGTAATAATATAAATCAGAAGTAAAAATCTTAACTGGACTATAGCCAATGAAGAAAGGGCCGAATTTCTGCTTTCTCCAGAAGCGGAAGAGATCCAAAGTAAGCCCAAAGGAAACTCCAATATAGTGGAGCTTCTCAGGCCCCCGTTCCCGAAGTGGTACGAGTAAAGGTGGAAGGTCCGTTCTTGGTTTTATGTTTTCCTCCAGTAGAGAAACCTATATGGCGGATCAAGTCAATCAAAAGCAAAGTTAGTTTAACACACACGAAGGTCCTGTTTGGTTTGCGTAGATATGAGTATCAGGTATGTGTCTGGTAATCCCATCCAAACTCATACTGTTTGGTTAAAATTGACCCCCCAACCCCCTAAACCCATTCAAAAANCCCCCCCCCCCACCCCAATTCATCTAGTTTCCTCATCATGTATGATAACTTTCCCCTTTGCTATTCTTCAATCTCGACTGAAGAAGAGCTTTGTATTGCCATGTCACGATTCTTCATCCTCCACCAAAGAAGAGTTTTGTACTCGATGTATGCTCTCTCAATGCTGCTCTGTATTCCATTTTTTCCCTATTTCGATAATGAGAGAAGCTTCATTGTTGCTGAAAAATGTTTTTAATGCCCCCAATTTCTTCTTGCAAATGAACGCTACAAACACTACAGAATCAAAGTGGATTGATTAAGGTACTGAATCCTTGTCATCTTTTCATTGTAGCTGGTAGTATAAAATCATAGAAATACTTCACCCCTTCCTCTCGTTCCAGTGTTTTAGCTACGAGATGGGCCATGGAATACTGAGGAGTGAGGAGAAGGTGAAGAGAAGACAGAGTAGGTGAAAGGGAATTCTTATGTTATTCCTCAACACAAACTAAAAGCCTAATTTCATCTATCAAACCTCAAGCCATCTCAACCCTATTCCTAAATCTAACTTGATACCAGAAATTTAGCCAAACAGCTTCTAAATGATACCCATAAATAAATAGAGAAATTTGTACGTAAATAGGAAATAGCACGGTGGAAGAAAACAAACCTTTTTTGCAGCCTCAATTACGTTGACTGGTAGATCCTCTTGCAATACATCTTCAGCATCCAGTTCGCATATTTGAGTCAACTGACCCTCATAGTATCTGCAAGCACCATATGATAAACTTCCACAGCCAATATAGCTACTCAACTATGTAACATCTGTCTCTTGACAAAATGCATGGAAACTTTCCTTACACTAGGGGGAACTATATCAAGTTCATCTTGTTGGGTGACATAAAATGGATGCTAGAAGGCCTAGAAGCTGTACCAAGTGGGCAGTGGAACACTTATTTTTTATTCAATTGTCTATTTGATCGGGGATAAGATGCTACATGAACTTCCGATTTCACATGCCCCCTATGTCCCAAAATGTTTTGAAGTGCTTAGGAGAGCTAACATGAAGAAGAAGCACTATGGTGCTTTCCAAGAAAGCAACATTGGAAGCAATATAGCACTTTCAAGAAAAACGAAAAAAAGCCGAAAACAAAAGCATGAGTGTATAGAAGTAGCCAGAAAACAATTCAATGATTTGAGTGCATGAAATACTCCTCTCTCTCTCTGAAATTTTGGTGAGAGGGCAAGTGCCACACAAATTAAGAAGAATTAGAACTTTGTAGTAGATATTGAATTTTTGAAGTGCCAAGTGCGATTTGTGCTACACTTCCACATAAATGTTGACAAATATGGTAAGAATAAAATCTTTTGGGACAGACTAAATGTGATAGATATAGTGGGGTTGAGGAGTACCTTGTTAAAAGATCAACAGCAGCAGAACCATATCCAAGCTGCCACAAGAACAACATTTTATGCAGAAATATTAAAACAAACATAAAGTTTTTTATGTCTTGACACGCACAAACACAAAAGGTAAAGTTGTAGCAGCCATTACCCTCATTGCGGTTGGATGTGTCGCAATGCGTACAATGCGAGCACCTGAAAGACTTGGGAAAACACTATCATTAAACTGCTGGAAAAATTTCCATGGTATCTGATCCCCAGATGGTTGACGCCCAGCATTTAAACTTTTCATTACGGATTCACGTGAAATTTGACCCTCGAGAGAGACCTGCAGATCAAGTAATAAACTCTGATCAAAGAAACAGTCCAAAGGCAAGATTTAAAATGCAGGATAAAAACAAAATCAAACAGTTTATATATGACTGGGGGGTGTTGTGGCTTGGTGTTAATGTATTGAGCCCAAAATAGGTGGCCATACTGGCCCATTTCACTAGAAATCACAAAGATGCTTGGGAGATCGCTACCTAGTGCAAAGTAAATAGATCAGTTGGGTGAAATGGATTCTTTTTCCATCAAAAACATATAATGGTGACATTAGTAAAAAGGAAAACCTATGCAAAGTTTGGTTGTTGGCAAAAGGATTCACCCAATCAATCAATCATATGGTATGGACAATAAAGAAACATTTGCACCAATGGCCAAGTTCAACTAACTTTGCGCCGCATTGTCTTTAGCAGCAAATATAGACCAGATATCAAAGATGCCCTTCTAAATGGTGGGTTAGAAGAGGGAGTGCATATGCACATTCTTCAAAGTTTCTGATCACTAGCACCTTAAACAAAGTATGCACACTCTGGAAGTGATTGTTTGGCTTATGCGATCACTAAGAGCTTAGTTTGATAGCCTGACTTTTCTTAAGAGTAATAATGATAGATTGGACCACAATATTTTTGATAAGCACTCCTTGGAGGGAAGAGGGAACGAATATTTAGCATTGTAAATGCTGATACATTGTACACACGGAAGATTTTCAAAGTCAAACTGAGAACTTGAAAGGTTCCCTAGCAAGAAGATTTGAAATGAAAAACTTGGGATTGCTCCAGTATTTTCTTGAGAATAAGGATGGAAGTGGGCTGAACATTATATGGGATATATGTCTCAAAGTACATGTTGACCTACTTCAAGATAACGGGATGCTTGGGTACAAGACAGCCAAAACTCCTATAGAAAATACACGAGAACAGCGCTCTAAAGAGTAGAGTTCCCCAGCAGATAGAACTGTGTATCAAAGTCGAGTTGGAAAACAGATCTGCGTGTGACATATCAATATCAGGCTAGACATTGGATAAGGCGTATGACAAGTGGTCATAAATCAAACCGTAAAGATATTCACTTAAAAGAAAAGAGGATCTTACAATACATCAATACCTCGAATGTACCCCGAGCAGGTGCTTCAACTTCAAAGAAACCCAAACAAGGGGATAAAACTACATACAGGCCTGGGTTGAGATTTGAGAAGGTAGTGCATCTTACTGAAATTTAATGTGTCATTTGAATTTAGTCTAATATTTACTCCCATATGCGCTCATTGGTGGATGCCTTTGTAGGAATAACTTTTTGTGGAAATCAGACATTACTACCAGATGAGTTATGACTTGTGGATGTTTCAAAGCATATGCAACAATGTATTATGTATAGAATAGTGGTAGTAAACTTTTAACGAAAGCATGTATTAACAACGTCTCTTGCACTAGTTGCAAGTCAGTACAGTAAGGATAGCATGGTATAAACACTGATCAAGGGTCTGACGGTAAAAAAATCACAAAGGCTGAGAGTCGCTGTGCCAACTGCCAAGACATCTCCAGGAAATATTTACAGGTTCAATTAAGGTCTGTTCTTTAGGACTGGAAAAAAACAGTTGGATGTTGGAAGAAACAAGGAACTGAAAGAAACAAGAAGGAACGAGAAAAAAATTGGAAAATCTAAAATTACTTTAAAAAATTTATTTAAGTTTACTTTTTATATTATTCTCATTCTAATTGTTGTTATAATTTGTTATTATTATTAACATTATTATTATATTCATAATCACGTTATGTTAATTAATGTTTTTAAGATAAAAAATATTGTCATTTTTCATACACAAAAATCTACTTTCGCAATTTTTTTAAATTAGAATATAAAGTTAGCATAAATATTAAAATGTTAAATTTTAAAAAGTTATCGTGGTTATGTTGCACCTCAATTTACTTATGCAGTATTTTTAAAAATTAATATATTTGTAATTACACTTTATATATACAAGATTTTATTTTAAATATCAAACCTGACACATAATGTGGTTAAATATTTTTTTTCTTTCATGATTGACATTGTATTTACATTGCAACTCTTATTTTGGAGAAAAAACATAGAACTTGTATTTTGTTACATTTTTAAGTTTTACTCCTACTTTAGTCTTTTTCAAATATGTTAAATATATTTGACTTCTAAATTTGAAAAAAGTTTGAAAAAAGTTTTCCTCATATCAATTTAGAAGAGTATGGATCGTAAAAATAGGGGAAGTTTACTTAAATAGTACTAAAACATAGTGACTTTTCCAATGTAGTACCATATGTTTTTATTTCTCAATGTAGTACCACAGGTCATTGTCCACTGTCCATTGTTCAACTAAATGTCCACCGCCACTGGACATTGTTCAAACTAAATGTCCACCATCACTGGACATTGCCACTAGACATTATTCAAGTTTTATTTAGGAAATAAAAAAGTTTAAGTACTGCATTGGGAAATGACATGTTTTAGTATTATTTAGTGCCAATTTCACTAAAAATAGTGACATGGAAAAAATAAAAAAATGAATTAATTTATAAACTATAGTGACGAACATAATAATTGTAACAATAATAATGATGAAGATAATACTAATTATTTTTATTATAATGATAATAATCATCACATTAAAAATACATCATTTTTTAGAGTAATTGTTTGGGGGGTAGAAATAGTTTTAAGAAAATGAGAATAGTTGAAAAAAACTTAATGAAACTAGAAGAAACTGGAAGAAAATGAAAGAAACTGGAAGGAACTGGAAGTTAAGAGTTTAAGTTCTAAAGAACATGCTCTTAATGAGGAATGATATTCTCTAAATAGCACAAACACTAGAAAATCAGAGAAAATGAATTACACATAGGACTTTAGAATATATAAACTTGTGAAAGCAATGCAACAACATCTATCGAGAAAACATATTTATTTACATATTTGAGCAATGTTGGAGTTATAGATTCCAGACAAAGAATATACCTGGATAACACACAAAATGTCGGGGAGATGATTTTTTGATTCATCAACGGGTCCTGTACAAAAATGTTGAAAAAATATATTAGTAATGATCACACAAGAGTTTATGGCCAATCAAGATTTAGCAATTAAACCTAGTAGGACAAACAAGTGGTGGGCCGGAGCATCAGCCATTAATTGCAAATCGTCAGGGGAATTTTTGTAGTGAGAAGCAACAAAGAGAGTCATCATCCGCTGCACAATGAGTGAATACCAAGACAAATTACTAACAAAAACACAGTTTAATTGATAAAGTATTCAAGTTAATTAGATGACATTAAGTTTAGGACAATCTAATTTCCCCTTGAGTGGGGAGCTGAGATGATGTCAAGATGTGTGACATTACCTGCAAAAATAGCTCACTCTCCTTATGAAAGGAGAAGAGGGTATCCCGATTTACGTAATACAAATCGCATTCACTAGGAGGTGGTAGCCTAAAAATACAAAAAATAGTGAGTGGAAGATAATGTAGTCTCCATTAAATTTCCAGTAGTAGTTGGTTACCTGCTGATACTTGGGGTGAAATTTGTGACATCCAGACAAAGCAAGGAATTAAGCCAGGACTCAATGGGATCACCAGGAGCATATCTGATGGATTCATTCAATTCTATCTTCTTGAAAAGCCTACCTATATGCGGAACATTGCATTAGGATATGAAACTAAATGTATTTTTAAAATGATACTCCATGTTATAGAGAGGTGTACATAATCTTTCAACAATCACTATTATAAGAAAGTCAAGTGAAAAGTGGTGCTGGTAAAACTTAAGCGCATAGATAACTTCTAGTACAAAATGAAAGATGGAGTTGGCAATTCATGCAAAGTAATTAAATTTTACAAATAGAAAACCGGAAAAGTAATCGTATAACATATAAAGTAATTAACTTTTTCAAATTGAAAACCAGAAAGGTAAACATATAACATATACTAACCCCGTCCCATTGCTAGTCACTCTAACTTATAAAAGATCACATTCATCACTTAACAGCAATATCAATAGGCAAGCCCTACATTTCCAGTAGTGTACAGACAGTGAATTCATTGTGACTTTGAAGAATTGTGACACTGATACAATTTCAAAAATGTGTACTTGTGTAGTATACTTTTGCTTAACTATGCACTATTTCATTTCTTTTCAAGTTCATAAATGTCACAACTCATAATGGCACTATAGTTAGTACTTAGTACCCCCTTCGTCCCAAAAAAAATCTTCCCAATTTTACTTTTTTGGTCAACTTTCTACACACTTTGACCGTAATTAAATACTTATGGAGTATGTAGTATAGTTTTAAATTAATAAAGGTCATTACAATTCGATATATCAATACTACATTTTAAAATGAACTCAATTATACTAGATTTTACATTACTAAATAAACATTTTTTTCACAATTTGTAGTAAAAGTTTGTAAAATATGACCAAAAAAGTCAATGTGGGAAGATTTTTAGGGACATGAGTATAAATATCAAAGACAAGTTAAGTTGGGGGACCTGAAATGGCACTTTCTGTACTTCTAGATGAAATATGATTTTGCTCCTCAAGTTGCTTCACCAATTTCAGTGATAATGATCTCCCTGTTCCTTCATAGCTTTAATTATAAGAGAATGCATAGAAAGATGACACGTGAGTAAAACTAGTGCAGTAAGCTGATTACGCTCTCTAATCCTGGAAGAGATAAATGATAAACATAAAACATGAAAAAATACGGTTTTTGAAGAACATGGAACTACATTCTATAGGAAAATAGTCAAATAGCTTTTCTCACCCATTGACAGTTGAAGAAAGGAAAACAAGATAAGGACCAAGCAAAGCCTTCACAACAGGCAATGGAATTGCTGCTGCTTCATCAATTACCAGCAATTCAACTTGTGAGAGTTTTGCATGTTCATGTGGTTGTATATACTGTAATATCAAAGAATAGAGAGGTAAATGACACTGGAAACGGACATTAACTACAAGAGATACATAGAGAGATTACTACATTTGAACTTTCAACCTTAAACTATATATTTCAATGCAGGCAATGGAGCCCAAACAGCCACTCACGAAGTGTGGGCTTCTAGGGCAAAGCTATTCATAAATTGCAGGGATGCCTGTGGTGTGCAGTATAGATTTCTTTAAAGTTGTCGAGTGATGCAATCATGGAAGGTGCACTCCGTCCCAAAATAAATTTCAGTCTTTGAGGTTTTGACACCACGGAGCGTAAGAAAAATATCGAGAAGTGAATAATGTATGGTTGGATGTGTTCATAGGAGAGAGATAGATTGTGAGCCACACATTTCATTCTTTAAATGGAAATGAGAGGATTGACTATTGAGAAGTCTAAATCGGGACGGAAGGAGTATACATTTAATTATTTTGTGGAAACTACATAAGACTTGTTGGCAAAAAACAGTTATGAACAGTGTGAGGAAAAGAAATATAAATATATATTAAAACATATGCAAGTATTGAGCACATTACAGCTCTTAACTCTAATATGTAAATATAAATCTGTGAGACATGGAGTAAAAATAGACGCATCCAGTAAGCTCATGGATAAAATGTAAAGCACAATAAGACTTCAATTTAAAATAGTTTGGGTATTCATATGTTGAATAAAAGTAACTTAGTTTAACTAAATTGACAGCGAATTAGTAGTTGTTTGAATGTTCATAACTTCTTATTAATACTCCTGCTTTAGCTTAGAATGATTATATGTGCTCTGTATTAACCACTTACGAATCATTTTCTCCCCTTTATGTAGAGAAGCCATTGCTCATGATCGATGGTAGCTTTCAATTGTATAAGAATTGCTAGTGATTGTGAAAACAAAATAATTAAAGATATTCCCTCAATCTGGATTTAATTGTCCACTTTTTAAGAGTGGAGTGTGAGACTAAATTCACATCCTATATGCAAAACCCATTGCTTTCATCAAAACATGCTAAATCCACTTGCAGAAATTAAGGGGTGGATTTAGTAATTAAGAGTGTGGATTTAGCATCTCATTTAAAGAAAAAAAGAAACTCCATGAATTAGCTTAATCATCATTGATGAGTGATGACAACAATACTAATATGATCTTTGGGGTATTTTAGATACTCCCTAGTTCCTAATAATTTAATTTTGGAAACAGCCTTTAGGAAAGTTTGATGACAACATTACTAATAAAGAAAGGGAACAATTAATTTTGGACGCCCCATAAAGGAAGTGGACAACTAAATCCGGACAGAGGATATAGTAGTTAAATTGTACATAATAGTATAATACATCCTGTGTAGTCAGAGCCTATTCATGTCACTACAAAACTAAATACTTGAACTGATACCCTCCCTGGCTCCCTCCAAATAAATGCAGGTGACTAGGTGGAGAACGTTGCTAGTGTCGTGCATGTTTTGTCCTCGTGCTTTGGCTCATGAGTTCATGCTAATGTGTTTCATATGTGTTCCCTAATGTCCCTTTGTTTTCACTTTTATGTTTGAGTTGGGGGTCGCTTGGAAACAGCCTCTTTACTGCCAAGTAGGGATAAGGTACGCGTACACACCCTCCCCAAGGTCTACTTTTGTGGGATATTACTGGATTTGTTGTTGTAGTTGACTAGGAGGAGAACACAATCCAAATTATCAGTTTATTACTCTCACTCTCTCTGTCTCTTAGTGAATACAATCCTGATTATCACTCTCAATCAATACTTAAATCAAAGCCCATTCGAAAATCATGAGAATAGATAGAGAATTATGAACTCATTGTATAGTGAACTGTGTTGCAATGTACTCCCTCCATCTCAAACTAGTTTTGTCACTTTGACTTTATAATATCTTAAGAAAAGGGTTAACATTGCATTGCACCTTAAAAATAGAGAGGCGGTAAGTGTAAAAGAAGAATAAGAACTGGGAGTACAACTTTTAAGAAAGAGCAGGGATTGTTAATATAACACAGACGCAGAACATTATGGAGGTGGAATGACATATCTAACAGGTCGTAGTGAAGGATTTGCATTTGTAGTACCTGAATAGTCTGTCTATGCTGTTTGTAGATATTGATCCGTACAGTTGCTTTTTTGAAATCTGGATTTGTGCTTTTGACAACATCATAATCCAAGTGCTCCTGCAAGGTATATTGCAGTTATATATATCCTTTATTTTTTTTCCCTTTATTCTTTACTAGGAGTAAGCCACACATCATCAAATCAGTTTACCAAAGTGCAAATCACAATTTTAAGGATGTGTTCTGTTTAGAGCACCTTGGTCTGATTATGTTGCTTTCAAAATCAAATTGAACTCAGTAACAGCAACCAGATTATGTATTCAAATTTCCCGAAATTGTTTTATTTATTTTACTAGGCTTACTGGCTGACAATTGACTACTGATCAAATTAAACATGAAAGTAATGTAGAATTCATGACATCATATTGGGTTGATGAGAGGATATGGGATAGTAAAACATAGAACCCGCCCTTGCTACATATATTCTAAATTTGTAATTTGTAATACTCAAGCAAGAAATATACAAACATTTTTGTCAAAACTACACACACTAATCAGAAGACACATATTATTTAATTGATTCTTGCTAATGGCTTGTGAGAACTTAGAAGACACATACAAATATACAATTTTTGGCCTCTAATGATAGTTTATTAATACAACAACAATTTTTGATAGTTTATCATTATTAAATGGAAAAATGTTGGTTTGAAGAAAGCAGCCAAGGTGACAAAATATAATAATGTTGATAGTAATGTTCATGCAAAGATGCATTTGGGCTGACATGTCGGATCTATTTGGAACACATTACTACTGCACATAATTATTAAAAAAATGCTCGTACAATCAATGTACAAACACCAATGGACTGACATTTCTCACGTACTTGGCTCTTTTACGGGCTTGTAAAAGACAATCACAAAATTTGATCACTTTAGTTTATTATTAAATAGCAAAATTATTGAAAATATTATCCAAATAATTTAGAAGGATTCTCATTGATTCTAAAGAAGGAGCAAGGTTACAAAACTCCATTAAAGTAATAATTATAAATGTAACTGTAATACTCATGAAAGCAAGATACAAATACGTCAATGCACATATGAAACTCTTTTATTTGGGTTTTCTGGCTTGGTAACACAAATACAAAAGATGGCCTCTTTTAATTCTTTAAGTCTTATTGAATGAAAAAATGTTTAAATATGGTACCATTTCTTTTAAGCACAAAAATAAAAGAGGACTCCTCTTCAATTGAATGGGAAATGTCACAAAATTTTATCTTTGGAATGTCAAAACTGACTAATACAGCTCCCATGTTGTAGCTTGAATGAATTCAAAATAATACATAACGAAGCAAGTGCGTGGAAAATTAAAAATCATTTGCAGACTTCAAGGTTTACTCAGATAACAGCAAGAGACAATCCCAACAAGATTTCTATGAATGTTCAAAGGCATATAATCGATTGTTCAAACACATGAAATAGTCCCTACCACCATAATCTTAATCTTAAATATGTTTGGGGCATTTGCAGTAACATATAGGGTCAATTAATGGAATTAAACTAATAATTATTAACACTAATCTTTTTAACAAATCAGTGTCAATGTTTTGTGTTGTATAACCTTCATGCTACAACTATTCCAAGAAAGACAACAAGCTTTTTGTCAGTAGAGTGTTGGAAGGCTCTATATTTTGATAAATACAATGATTATAATAATAAATAAACGGATGCTTGGAGCAACGTATTATCGTATACTTTGCATAATGTTATTCCTTATACTTTAATAAAATCCTTCGTGCATGCTGACACATATATGAATATATACACTTAGCCCTTCCCTTCAAACCCCCAAGCCCAAACTGACCATAAGTGTTTCCATTGTTCTAAATATAATGGCTCCCTTTGGCTGGATAATAGCACCTCCGTCCATTAAAAACCTTCTTGTTTTGACTTTTTTTGGTCAAGCAATGACATTCTTTGACCATAAATTATGAAAAAAAATTAATTATAATTTAAATCCAATATAATTGGGTTCATCTTTGGATATAGTTTTGATATGTCAAATTTCTTATCATTTGTGTATTTGAATCATGTTTCATTTGTAATTAAAGAGTGTCAAAGTTTGACAAAAAAAGTCAAAACAAGAAGAAATTTGTGACAAAAAAAATCAAAACAAGAGTAATTATAATCATCTACACATTTACAATAAGTGCATTAAAGTCAACAAAAGTTTATTAATCCTTGCCTTGTATTGAAGCATGTCAAATCCCTTGCAAATAAACTCAAAAAGAGTTTTCAAATTCTCAGGGCTTGGTGCGGTTATAAAAATATTAGAATACCTGAAATAAGTATACTTTATACAGTAAAATATGGATACAGGTAGAGAAATTGATGAACATGAATGATCATAAAGATAGGTGAAAATATATGTACTACAAGACTAACTTACCCAGCAGCAATAGCTCCTGCAACTGCTAGTCCAAGAGCAGCTGACTTACCACGGCCACGGGCAGCAAGCAGTGCCACTGTACTACGAAGTGTCTTGTCCAAAATAGAATCAAGAAAGTTTATGACAGCTTTTCCCTGTTAAATTTTAGAGGAAAAAAAGGATAAGGTTTTAGCAGATATGTGTTAACTACACAATCAACAAGATAAAGATCATTAGGCACACAATCTTGACCTGGTCCAAAGTACAGCACTTCCGGATCAAAGGACCAACTGGGAAGTCATCATTCAACTGTTCTTTCAAAAGTTTCAAATCGCGCTCTGCTTCAGAGAGTCCCTCAGAGTCCTTTCAGAACATAAAGAAAATATTTAATTAATGGAACTGTTTGTGCTAAATGAGCGCGACTGTGAACTCATATACCAAGAATTTATAAGAGAAGTATTTTTCGCAGTATATCCATCTACAAAGATTACAGTAGTTACTCAAATGATGCCACCTATTGTTCCAAACCACGGCAACAAATGTCATCACAAACTAACTAATACCAAGGGTTCATTGAAGAAGCTTAGCAAGAGCACTGAGGGTTCATTAGGAGAAGCTTACCTCTTGAGCCGGGACCGGAGTAATTGACTTCATATGTGACGAGATTGGTAAAATGTTTAATTCATCATCCATCACAATACAAGCTTTACATGAAGCAAGTGAAAGTAAGAAACGTTCATTAAAGCGCCCAGAGGTCTGAGAATGGGATTCTGTGCGATATCTTTCATGAACATCCTACAAATTCATAGAACATCCATAAATTTTAGCATTAAGCATGTAAGTAGTGAAAGCAACTCACAGAGTATACAACAGCATGCGAGGGGTACTTTCATCAAATTTAAGAGTGCAACCACAACTCCCCTAGCTATAGCTACTAATCTAGGAGCTCCATCAAGACTTTCTTCCATGAGTTTGATCATGATGGTATATATCTCTCTCTCTCTCTTACACCTTCCATGTCATTATTGACAATTTCTTGTTGTGTTTTGCAAAAGCTTAAATTTTAAATGATTGTAAAATCACCATATTGAAATCCTATAGAGAAGGGACATTGCGTGATTATAAGATACCATGTTAAAATAGTCCGCTCACGCTTGCATGCGATACGAGGAAGTTTTACTAGGCAGTTGTCACACCGGCTACATTGTATGGCATGGAGTGTCGGGCAGTGAAGAACTTAGAAAGCTCCAAGTAATATAGAGAAGGATGCTAAGATGGATGTGTGGCTTTACGAGGATGGATAAGGTCCATAACAAAGCTAATCAGGAGAAGGTGAGAGATGATAAGTTGCATGAAGCTAAACTAAGATGGTGGACTGAGGAGAAGTCTCTAGTGAAGAGGTGCAAAAGGCTTGCACTAAGGCTATGTTCTGTTCGCCTGATTTGATTTTTTGAAGATCTAATCTGATCTGGTTTTCTGATTCAGTTATAAATAAAGCTATTTCTGAGGTCTAATTTGATATGGTTTGGTCTGGTATGATCTGATTATAATAAGAATAAGTAATAAGCAGAAAAAATAAGTTGAACGGAATGTTGCCTAAAAGATGTTAAAAGGGATAAAGGTCAACCCAAAAAGGGTTCAAAAGAGGTTATGACATGGCTTGCATTTTCAAGAATTTATCGAGGATATGACCTTAAAAAGAGATGTCTCTAGGATTAGAGTGTAAGGATAGGATCTTGGGTAGTGTGCTATCCTTGTGTAGGATTTTTTGCCTTTATTTGTTGCTTCTACATACATGCGTGCTTCTTTTGTGCAACTTTTCTTTGTCATTCCCTTTTCTCTTTCTAGTGTCTAGTGCTTTAGTGTTACGTTTTTATTTATCTGAGCTCTTTTGGGAACAACATATCTACTCTTTAAGTGGGGAAAAGGTTTGCATAAACTCACCCTCCCAGGATCTCACTCCATGGGGTTTTACCTGCTGATGTTAAAATAGTCCACTCAAAAGCTAAGACTACTTAAAAAGATAGGTGCGTATAAATTAGGTGTGTATATTTGGTGCGTGTAAATTGTTAGGTGCGTATAAACTTACAATAAGTCATATTGAGTATCATACAATTTAATAGAAGAATTTAGGAAGCACAGAAGTGTGTGTGTCACGGCAGGAACAAGTGTAAAAGAGAATTAGAGAAGAGAAGAAATGTTAATTTTTTATCATACTCCGTAATTTATGGAGTAAAATGTCTTGTAATGTTAAACGAACAAAGTAGTTAGAACAGGGTGCAGCAAAAAAAGGGAAATTTTACATGTAATCTCATGCAAATCCATTGCAGTAAATGAGTAATTATTATGGCATGTACATACCATAACCATGGTATATAAACTCGTCAATGAGGTCAAGGATCGAAGCAGCAAAACAATCAAACCACCACCTTCAACTGTCTCTATAGTTCTTGCTAAAATATTGGGTGTCAGAGCCTCAAAATCCTAGTGCAAGTCAATAACCAAAAAGTTAAATAAAATGCAAAGTAGCTAAACATGAGATATTACAACAACAAGAACAACAAAAACAACAACAACAAACTCTAAGTGCTCTTTTACAGCATGCAAATTTATCTAGTGGACTAGTGGATATACCTGTAACACACACATGCCAAAAGTGTTTCCAAGAATTCTTTCTGAGTCCTTATAGAGGCAGTAAGAAACACCACCAGTTTCTACAAAAAGATCAAAAGGGTCTGCTCGCTCCTCATCTATCAACCCTCTCTGAATTAATTTTTTTAACTGTTTCCTCCTTTTCTTCTTGTGGCTGAACATAATAACAATCACAACTTATATGGCAAATCACAAGTTACCTGTCTTCCTTCAATCAAATTAAGCATATATTTATGCACAAACAACCCAACTCCACGGAAAAAAATAATGAAGAAACCTGCTAATTTCAAGCTTGTCCTTGTAGCACCAGAGCACAGTCGGGCGGGTCTTCACCATAGCTTTGCTCAACATGTAGTGCAGGTTCACAATCTATTTCCAAAACAATGAGTAAATAAAAAAATATCATCTTTGTGCTAATTGAATACCAATTCGATGAAAAATTGATTTTTTTAAATGAAGCCGAGTGCCTGGTCGCGGGACTTGTCTCCAACGATGACGAAAATGGATCTATGGCGGGTTTTGACGCCATTCTCGATGAGGGTTCTGATACGCTGGTCGACCTTCTTCCTCATGGACTCAAAAAATTGTAGGTTTAGGCAGGACGGGCGGGGTTTGAGCACTGTTGGAGTGGCGGCAAGGGGATAGTGGAGGAGAACGAGCAAGATGGAGAGGAGCAGAGGGTTTAAAGTTTGAACAGGGGAGGTTTTAATTAGAAATCTAAAATGAATCCCTCAACTTTGTATCAATTACACATTAGGTACTCAAATTATGATTTAATTGGGTTGCATCCATACATTTTATCAATTCGATTCGTGATTCGTATTCGAAAAACATGATTCGTATGTGTTTTAATCAAATTCAAATCTGAACACGAATCAAGTTTTAGATTCGAATTATATTCGAATATGAGTATTAATAGATTCTATTCGACTATATTTCAAATTACTTGAATAGTATAAATAAATAAATATACACTAATACACCCCTAGTTGGTTGTATACCTTGGATTAAATATTTTAATGGTCAAGATCCTTACAATATCAAACAAACTCAATCTTATCTATTTTTATCAATCGCCATATTCACCACCACATACACTCAACGCTACTTTCAATTTCATTGATTGTCCTCATCTTCATATATCAAAATTGTCATCTAGCGTAACACAAAGTGTTATAGGCTTCCAGTGTTCATCTTCCTCTCTAGCATCACAAGTTTAGAGCGTCAGCCCAATATTTTCCCTTCTTCAAGTATATTCCTTTTGAGGACGTTGCTTCCAAATTCGTAGCCGTATAGGTTACTCGTAGTTTATAAAAATTGTAATGTATGATCTTCAGAAAATTTGTTCAAAAGATTCTACTAATATCGAATTCGAATACATGAAATATGTCAGCGAGTCAAATACGAATGTTTCTTAAAATTTGAATTATATACGAATTTGAATTTGAAGAAATATCATTTCAAACGAATTCGAATCGAATAATGAGATACTTGCTTTGATTTGATTTGTATGCACCCCAACATTTATCACACCCTCTAGCCATGGACACGATATGGTCTAGTATGACGGTCAGCAAAACCTCTTCTGTCTCGGAAGTAAGCGGTGACGATGTTGATTTCGGAACCAGTAATTCTTGTTCTGTTTCGGTCTAATATTTCATTTTATATTTTGGATATAAATAATGACATGGCTAATTTTTATGTCTACATGTAATTGTTATTTACTACTCCGTATGTAATAGTGAAAATTATGTAGTGCAAGTACCAACTACATTTAATGTCATGACAGTTAAAAAAATGACAAGGTAAATATTCATAAAAAACCTTTCGAAAGATCTTATAAATCGCTCACTTAAAAAAATAATTTACAATTATAAAAAAATTGAGTAAGTCGTTCGTTTGAACAACCACTTCCATCCGTGGTTACGTCCGCATAGTTTTGTGTATCCATGTCATATTCTGGCTCTTGTGTTAGACGTCTCCAAGAGTCAATCTTGGTTGCAAGCTAGTATCTCTAGTAATTCAACATCGAGGGAACTTCATAAGTCGATCAAAATATTATCACTAGAACTAAATTTTTATTACAGAATTACCATTGAAATTAAATTTGATCGGTCTGACTCTAGTAACCAAACTCCAAACATGTAACCAGTATCGGGTGGCCCAATTTTCGGTACCGATTTGCCGATTCCGGTTTCGAATATACATCCGTTCAGATAACCATTTATTCAAATATTCGTTTATCCGAATACCGAATTAATTTTTTCATTATTTATAATAATTTATCCAGCCCATTATACATTAACTTTTTGGCTCATTATTTCCACAAAGTACTTGGTCGATTATGTATTTATATTTTTGTTCGAATCATTTTTTTGGTTAAGTATTTATTATTTATATACAATACTTTTTTACGTATTTGATGTTGTTTAGTATTGTGGATTTCAACATTCACTTTCTCACTTTCAATGACCTATAGCTTGGTATAAATATTCTAATTTATGTTTATATAAAAAAATTGTCAAAAATTTTAAAGTACTTTAAAATATAATAAAATATTATCACATAAAATAAGTATGCATATAATTATAAACTGTATGAGGTTTATTTAAAAAAACATTATAGTTAGATGTAGATTATTTTAAAATGTATGATGATGATGATGATCGTAATAATAATAATAATAATAATAATATAATAATAATAATAATAATAATAATTCTTGATTGGATTTAATTTGGTCTGGTCTGGTCTGATTGGATATGCTCTGATCAGGTCTGATCAGATCTGATTAGATCTGTTTTGGTCTAATCTGATCTGAATAGATCTGGTCTAATCTGATTTGATGTGTTTGAAATAAAATAAGAAAAAAATAGGAAAAAATAAGTTGAACGGAACCTTAGCATAGATTGCTACAACTTTAAATTTAGAGGTCAGCGGTCTTGGGTTTGAATCCCTCTGCCTTATCTTACATTTTTGTTTTCAGGTTTGAACACATTGATATTCGGTCGGATTCGGGTACTTGATTGGTTTTAGATATTTAATCGGATTCGAATATATCCGAAATTGAAAATTATCCGTCAGATATGGATTAAAATGTAGATATGTAAATATCCATTGGATATGGATACAGATTCGGATATTCCAAGACTTAATTGGATTCAGATTCAGATATGTCATAAGTAGAATCAGTATTTTAAAGTATGGAGGAAATTAAGACGATTCTAGGGATTTACACGCCACTCTCCGATTGGGATTAATTTGGTTATAAGAGTGGTTTGTGGTATTGCCGAAGGGGAGAGAAATCGACGTGGGAGACTTGTCACGAAATCATCCTATCAACGTGGTCAAGATATTGTTTTATTTAAATCGACGACACAGAAGGTGTGCCCGTTGAGTTGACCCTAACCTTTAGCCATATGTTTCATGTTGATATATTTTTATGTATGTTTTAATAAAAATAATTTAAATCGAACATTTTTTTAATAAAAAAATACCAAATAAAGTATGGAGGAAATTAAGTTTTCACGTGCATACTAAAAGTTAGGGCGTTTAAAAAAAAACGAAACATTACTGTCGTTGAAGTTTTGCTTCAACTCCTTTCTGTCTTGGTTAAAAAAACAATCAATTTATACAAAAGGGTAACTCCTTTGTCTTGGCCGAATAAGAAATAAATTGATGACTGTAAAGATAGTAGAAATATAATGAAACTTAATTATGTTTTTTTATTGGCCTGAGATTACCGAATGATGATGATGATGGTTATTAATATTATATATTTATTATTTTTACTATTATTATTATGTATGGTTGTAGTTAAATTTATTTTTCGAAGGAATTTTAGTGTTGTTAGGTTTTTATATATATTCAAGAAAATTAGGGCATAATAAATAAATTGGAAATAAATAAATAAATGAAGTCTTTTGATACAGATTGAGATAAGGAATTCAAAATAACTTATGATTCAAGACGTCAAAGATGTTTCTTTAAAATGATCATACTATGGTTAACCAAACCGCAAGTGGACGAAGTAAAATTTTAAAGTTTTTTTTAATGACGCCTGACCAGGTATTGACATGTTTTACCAAGTGGGTCAAATCACACGTTATAAGGCCGGATCGTATGTGTCCAAGTGAATGAGCCTACAAATAATCATACCACAACGTGCGCACGAGAATCCAACGATGACCCCGTGGGTTTAGGGTTCACTTCTGATTACTAGACCCGAGGTCACGGGGAGGTATCCGAAGTAAAACTACGAATCGACTAGTGCGGTGTTCCAGCCTAGTCACGTCATCTTAATCTCTAATATAAGGTTAACCTAGAATAAAAAAAGACAAAAAGTCTAGTATTTTTTTTCTAAATATCCCGAAGTAATTACTAAATTGAGGTTGTTTTCTCCATGATTTAAGTATGTGAAAAACATTGGAATTAAATAACTTAAAATGCCTTAAAATATATTTGCATGTCATATATGTCTATTGGTTATTTGTCACTCCACTTTATGCTGAGCGTGTAGTGTTTAACTGCACGCAAGTACGAGTAAATGGAACAACTGCTGAGGAGGGAAAGGATAGACGTGGAGGCCGTACCGATAAAAGAACGATGCTTTAATTATTTTTAATAATGAATAAGTTATTGAACTTACTCTATGTTGGTTTGGTCTTGAACCCTAAATTGTATTTACTCTCAAGCATTTTTATTTTAAGTTTTTTTTTCAAATATTAATCATTCAAATCTCTAATTATTAAAATGATCGAGAACTAATTCTAAATATATAAATGTTTTACTAAGTAAATCAAGTTTTGCTAGCGCTCCGGCCTGGGTGACTCGGGTCACCCAGGGTGGGGTGTTACAATTGCGATCAGATAGTCAAACTCTATCAAACGGTATAATTTTTATGTTTATTTGTAATATTTTTTCTGACAACATATTTTTGGTTGTTTGATTTTGACAAAGTCAAAATTGATTTAATTGACCTTTTTTCATAAAGGTTCTTCATTTAATTTATACTCCGTATTACTTATTCTTATGATTTATTTCAATAAATCATTTCAAATTCCACATCATAAACAAATTCTTTATTTATTCATTTTTAATATGGGTCTGTATTCTGGTTTCTAATCAAAATTACACAAATAGTCGACATATTGGATTTATATTTTTGAGATTTTAGATTGTGATATTAGATAGGTACATCCGGGTAGTACTCATTCTGAAGTTAAGTGCTACTCATTCTCGCACAAACATAACAGTTCATTTGAAATAGTGTGGTACTCATTCTGAAATAACGTAGTATTCATTCTGAAATAACGTAGTACTCATTTTCACATATTTGTACAGTATTCATTTATAAATAACATAATACTCATTCTAAAATCTAGTAATACTCATTCCTAAGTAGCCTAGTACTCATTCTTAAATAATATACCATTTATGAAAATCTAAAATCTTGTTGAAGACCTTACAGCTGAAACAGATTTGGAATTAGAGCTTCGCCTACTTGAAATCGCGGAATCGCAGATAGGAAGAGTCTTCTTCCCGATCGATTTCACCAAAACCTGCCGCCTTCATCGTCGATTCATTTCGCCTTAACCTGCCGCGGATCTTCCTTCTTCATCGCCGCAGATTGATTTAGCATGCCGCAATAGATTCTTGTCGCAGATCCATTTCACCTTCTTCATCGCTGATCTTCCTTTGGCCCAAATTAGACGTCGGTTGTACGGGAACCGCATTGAGACTTTTGTCCAATCAATTTTGGATAGTAAAAGTGATAAAATTACAGTGTTATTTTATCAAATAATTAACAAAAATAGATAAAAATAATTGGGAAGAATGTTTTATGAAAAGGGGCTTATATTTTAGGACAAATAGAGTAAATTTAAAATATTTTAAAATGGTACTATAATCTGAAATACTCTTCTCACTTCTTATTTTGCAAAATTTTTGAGCTTTTTTATATATAATTTTTGGTTCGTATTGATTTATGAATTTGTAAATAAAATATTTTTAAAACTTTTGAAATTTTACTTTGTAATTTTCAATTTGTAATCAAAATTGAAACGGAGGAAATAAGAGTATTTTTTTATCATGGAGTAACATTTAATAAAAAATGTTTGAAACAATTACTATTTCGGCATCTCAATAATTTTATTTGTTTACTTGTCTTGGCTGACTATTTGATAAAATCAAATAATCAAATAATCAAACTCTTACTTAAGTTTTAAATTATTTTTTGGTTTGTAATATTTGATTTGATATTATTTGAAATTGAAAAATGGGGATTAATTTCTTATTTTTGAACTCATTTTATTTAAATTAAAATATTGATAAAGAAATAAGAAATAAATTTATTTATTTATATGCTTTTCAAAATAAGTATTTGAAATAATAAATGTAAAAAATATACTATTTTATTAAAATATTTCTAGATGCACTCCACTTATTTTTTTCTGGAAAATGGCCTTTTGCACAGTTTTTTAATCTTCAGAGTTAGAAAAATGTCATGAAGTACTACTTTATTCTTTAATTAACTATTTATAAAAAAATCACCGTATCTTATTTTGTTTTCGTCTCCCTCAATACTTTTATCATTATTTCAATTGTTATTTGAAAGAAATTAGGCATTTGTTTCAAGTTAATTTGGTCTATTAGAATTTACAGAGATATTTAAAATAAAATAAAAATTGTTGAATAGTGACAACCAGTTGTTGGATGTATAAGAAAGAAAAATATTTTAAACTACATTTTATTTTCTAAAAAGAAAGAAAAATGCATGCAATATTTTATGATTTATTTAAAGTGAGAAAGGTGAGGTATCAACTTACAGTTCTCTTAACATTTTTTAAAAATATTCTTTGTAATGTATATCATTGGAAGTAAAGTGAAAAAAAAAACTAATTTGAAGCCTATGTAGTATGAAAAGGTTATAAAGATTGGAGTGCATATAGTAATATTTGGAGTGTTAATATCATTTCCCGTAAGAATAATGTAGAATTTCAAAAAAATTATCTTTAAAAGCTACTCCATTTAACATCGAAGGTTGTGATTTTTAAGGAAATTTTAGAAGTGTATTTTGATTTTGGTTTTAAAAATATGCTTAAATATTATGGAAAATAAATATAGTGTAATGCCTAAATTATGAATTGGTAGAGTAAAAATAAATTTTCATTGGAAATGAAATAAGTTTTTGAGACCTTAAAAAATGAAAGGGAGAGAAAGAGATAATATATTAAAAGGGGTGTTCATTCGGATATATTCGATTCAATCCAATTCAGTTTTTCGGATATCTAAAATTTTTGGATCGGTAAATATCTATTCCATGTCCGATCCGAAAATTACTGGATACCCAAATTTCGGATATTTGAAATTTCGGATCGGATCAATGGAATATCCGGAAAGATTTTTATTTATTTTTTTGAATTTTTATTTTTTCCAATAATTTTAAAGAAGAATTTATAATGATTTTGTATTTGTTAAAATAGTAGATGTCATAAATTAGGCTTGAATTTGAAGTCAACTCTATTTTAAATGTCATAGTTACCTTGATAGTGTTATCATAAGTTATAATTTTATAAATGTATGAAAAAAGAATATCAACATAATTGACAAATAAAATATGGACAAAAAGACTAAAGTAAAAAACTTCAATTAATCTTAGATTCAAATATTTTGATGAAAATGAATTAAGCTTAAGTTGTCTAAGCTTTATTTTTATATTTATTTTTTAAAAAATATGAACTTCGGATATCCACGGATATCCGAAATCTTAATATTTCATTCCATATCCGATTCAATTTTTTTCAAATATCCGATCGGATAGGGAGAGAAACATCCAAGTGAAGATCATGCAATAAGTAGCTCAGACAAAGGAGTACACATGTGGTGGCAGCCATGCTCCTATATTCTACTTCTATGGAGGATCTGGCAACAACAGTTTGTTTCTTTGTCTTCCAAGAAACGAGAGCATGGCCTAAAAAAACACAATAGCCAGTCAAAGACTTGCGAGTAGTAAGGCAAGAACTCCAGTCAGCATCAGAGAATCCTGTAAGTGTGAGGTTTTGTTGAATGGGGTAAAAGAGACCATGAGAAATGGTGCCTTTGAGGTAGCGCAGAACATGAAAAGCAGCCTGCAAGTGCTGATCAGTGGGTGTGGAAACAAACTGACTAAGATGTTGCACTGAGTAAGAGACACCTGTGCGAGTAAGACCAAGATATATGAGTCTCCCAATGAGTCGTCTCTATGGTTCAGGATCAGGCAGTGGGTCACCAGAGGTTAAAGTGAGCTTGAGATTTTGTGGAAGAGGAAAATTTGCAGGTTTGGTTCCAGTAAGCCCAGCATCAGATAAGATATCTAAGATGTATTTGCGTTGATGAAGGTGAAGACCATGCTTGTCTCTACAAATTTCCATCCCCAAAAATACTTTGCCTCCTCAAGGTCTTTAATGGTGAATTTGTTGTGAAGAGCACCTGGTGTTGGAAATTTCCAATGAAGAAGTGCCTGTGAGCAGCATATCATCAACATATAGTAAAGCAGCAGTGAAAGTAGTGTCAGTCCTTTTGACAAATAGGGAATAATCCTGTTTAGATTGAGTGTAACCAAGTTGGACAAGGAAATTGATGACTTCCATATTCCATTGTCTAGAAGCTTGTTTGAGACCATACAAAGAGCGCTGTAATTTGCAAACTTGACCAGGCAAAGATTTGAAATATGCTTCTGGAGGCAACATGTATATGTCCTCATCGATATGACCATGCAAAAAAGCATTGTTAACATCTAATTGATGTAAAGACCAACCAAAAGCAGCTGCTAAAGCTATAACAACCCTGACAGTAGGTAATTTTGCAACAGGAGAGAAAGTGTGTTTATAATCTTTCCCAAGTTTTTGGTTATATCCTTTTATAACAAGCCTCGCTTTTAATCTGTTGACTTTGTAAACCCATTTTGAGCCAATTGCCTTGTGACCCTTAGGGAGTGAGCACAAAGTCCAAGTACAATTAGTTTCTAAGGCAGCCAGCTCCTGAGACATAGCTTTGACCCATCCTGGATCCTTGCTAGCCTGAGCATAAGTGGTGGGTGTTTGGATAGTTAACACATTTGCGATGAAACTGGTAAAGCCAAGTGGCAGAGAATGAGAAGTATGAAAAGAAAATAAAGGATGAGCTGTGGAACAATGAGTTTGTGTTCTGGACTTGAGAGTGGGGCATATAAAGTGTGAGAATTTAGCTGGAATATGCACAGTCCTTTGTGGTCTAGAAGAATTGGTTTGAGTTGGTAAGAAAGAGACAGGATCTGTAGGTATTGTATCTGAGGTAATTGGTTCAGAAGAGGAGGAATCAGTAGTATGAACTTGATCAGTAATGAGGGATTCTGATGATGGATGATTGGAAGAGGGATCATGGGAAGGAATGAAAGAAATGGGATCATCTGTGACTGAAATGGGAGTGGGGTAAAAGAAGTCAGGTGTTTGTTGGGATGAAGGAGATAAGGTCCTGTAAGGAAAAATATCCTCATGAAAGAGAACATCTCTACTGAGGAAGGAACTTTTAGTATCAAGATCAAAAAGCTTGTATCCTTTTTTAATAGAAGAATAGCCAATAAAAACACATCTTCTATCTTTGGGTGCAAATTTGTCATGTGTTTTCCCAGCCACTTTGGCATAACACAAGCAACCAATGATCCTAAGATGGTCATAACGCGGTGGGGTTCCAAAGAGACTTTCATAAGGGGTTTTCCAAAGTAACTTGGCCATAGGCATTTTGTTTATGAGATATGTGGCTGCAAGGATACAATCTCCCCAAAAAGAAACTGGAAGATTAGCATGAATTTTTAAGGCTCTAGCTGTCTCCAACAAATGTCTATGTTTTCTTTCCACAACCCCTTTCTGTTGTGGAGTGTAAGTCATGGTTTTCTAATGTATGATCCCAAGTTTTGAAAATAGATTGTGACATTCAGATCTGATTATTTCTGTTCCATTATCACTTCTAATAAATTGAGGTTGGGTTCTGTGGTGATTCTGGACATAAAGAAGAATGGATTGAATGATGGTGTAAACTTGGTCTTTATTGTGTAAGAGATAAGTCCAAGTAGCTCTGGTTTTGTCATCAACCAGAGTTAGGAAATATCTAGATCCATTCAGGGCAGGATTTTTGTAAAGTCCCCACAAGTCTATATGAAGTAATTGGAAAGGAAAAACAGAATTACTGAGACTGTGCTTAGGAAAAGGAAACTTATGTATTTTTGCCATAGAACAAGCATCACATGCCAGAACATTTTGATGTACATGTTTACAATCAACTAGATGACTCAACTTGGACATAGAAGTATGACCCAATCTCACATGGAGTCTATACAAAGATTCTTTATTTGAAACATTGACAACTGAATTAAGAGAAGAATGTAATGAACTAGGACAACTAGTTGCTGTGGATTGAGCAGCTGGAACAACTTTAAAACAGGGAGTGGATACTTGAAGTGTGTAAAGACCATGACATCCTTCTTCCGAGGCCAAGATCCTTTTAGTGGTAGGGTCCTGGAACATGAATGAATTCCGTGAGAAATGAGCTGTCCAGGAATTATTAGATAGAATTTTCCCAACAGACAACAGATTGAATTTGAAATTTGGAACAAACAACACATCTTGCAGGACAAGGAAAGGATTGATGGTGATTTGCCCTATGGTATCTACTACCGTATTAGTTCCATAAGGAAGAGTAATGGAAATGGGATTGTGTAGAGGTTTAGTGTTGCGAAACAATTCTAGGAAAGGGGACATGTGATCAGAAGCACCTGTGTCAACTATCCATTGACTTTTAATATCCACATTATGACTCAAACTAGTAAGAACAAAGGCAGGATCAAAAGCTATACCTGAAAAGTTAGTGCCAGAAAAATTGACAGTGGGTGAACTGAAATCATGGTGTTCTTCCAGTGTAGCCTTTCCCTTGAATATCTTTGCAACTTCTTGATATATGGCTGTAAAAAGCTCTGGATCAACCTGTAATTTGATATGCTGACTGCTACCAATGTTGTCAAAAGGAGATTCCAACCCAGAATCTTCTGTTCTTTCAAAAGAGGTTGTGTGGGCTGCCATTTTCACTCCAAACTTTTTGTTTTTCTTGCCTTTGTACCAATCTGGATATCCAATTCTTTCAAAACATTGTTCATATGAATGACCTTCACTCTTGCAATGCCTGCAGTATTTCCTTTCACCTGGTCTTTGTCTTTTGTCATCTCTTTTGTATTGAGATGTCCTAGAAGACTCATTGTTCACCAAGAAGGCTGATGACTCTGGCATACTACGAGTTACATTCCTCTGAGTCTCAATTTGTTGAATAACATAGAAGGCTCTACTCAAAGTAGGTAGTGGTTCTGTTGCTAGCATATTACTACGAACTCCCTCATAGTCATCATTAAGCTTCATCAGGAACTGCATCAATTTGTTCCTGTTTTCAATGGCAGTCCACTTTTCAAGGAAATCACAGTCACACTCCTTTAATTTTCCACATTCACAAGTGGGAAATTTACTCAGCTCCTGCAAGGTTTCCCAATACTTCTTGAGTATTGTGAAATAAGCCAAAACAGACATGTTACCTTGATGAACTTCATTCAACTCCTTTTGTGTCTGATATATGAGAGGCGCATTGGTATGTCCATATCGTTATCCAATCTCATACCATAACTCCTCAGCAGAATTCACATAAAGGAAAGAGTCAGAAAGCTCAGGTGTCATAGAATTGAGAATCCAGCATGTTACCATATAATCGGTTCTGATCCAGCGTTGATAATTCACATCTGTGATTGCTGGCTTGGCACAGGTTCCATCAATGAATCCTAGCTTTGATTTAGCCCCTAAAGCCATCGTAATCATCTTCTTCCAGGCGAAGTAATTGCTTCCAGTGAATTTTGCCGTGGTTAATGCCAATCCCGGATAATCTTGACCCGTGAGACCATACGGATCAAGAGGTTGATTCCCTGTTACTGTTCGACGATCTCCAGCAGAATCCTCCATTGATTCATCAGAGGATTAGTCGAAGATGATGATATGCTGCAGCGGAAGATCTGATCGGAAATGATGAACGAGTGTAAAGAATCAAGATCCCTCTCGGATCTTCAATTCCAGCTCTGATACCATGTAGAAACGCAAGTAGGATAACGAAGAAAGCTTGCATATTATTGCGTAAATCATCTTACCGAGGGAATAGAGAAAGTAACCACATATATATACAAGGGAGAATAACGAAAAAGAAGGAGGAAAATGAGGAACACAATAACGGATACAGCTGGCTTGAAACAGAAAGTGTGCTAACTAAAATAACAAAATGAAAATATCTTCATATTATCTCATATCTTCTACAGAGGATTGCTTTTCCTTGATCGTCGATAAGTGGGAGTGTGACGAAAGTCAGCTCCAAAACACGCACCACAATCTTTGGAGGTAAGGACGCATGATGTGAGATGGCTGCAGGAGTGTCCCGACAGAGCATGTCGGAGATGGATTGATGATAGACTTTAAGAACCCTAAGGAGGGTAAGGGTTTCAGATATTTTTACAAAATTATCGTCTATCATTAATACTCCGTCTGTAGACCAAGGAAGCTCACTGGTCGACTCCCTTTTCTCCCGCCAATCTGTCTCCTCCAGGAACTCCCTCATAGTATTGTCTCCCGGAAAGATTAATTTCAGGAGGCTCTGCACTTCGAACGCAAGTGGTGAGGAGGAGGAGGAGGATGGGATGGCTGGAGGAGGAGCTAAGGCGGTGGGGATGGGGGCTGCTGCTGCTTTCAAAAAGGAAATTGCATCCTCGTCCGCCGAGAAATTGCATCTGGCTGTGTAACGGACGATGACTTTAGGTACGGATTCCGATGAAGCCAACATCCTTGTTTGTATGTTTATCAATGAATGCCCCCAAAACTTCCGACGTCTTTACAAACTGCCGCCGGATTTATAAGGGAGGGGAATAGGGCGATGTCCGATGCCGAAGAGGAATGCGGTTTTAATTAGAAATCTAAAATGAATCCCTCAACTTTGTATCAATTACACATTAGGTACTCAGATTATGATTTAATTGGGTTGCATCCATACATTTTATCAATTCGATTCGTGATTCTTATTCGAAAAACATGATTCATATTCGTTTTAATCGAATTCAAATCTGAACACGAATCAAGTTTTAGATTCGAATTATATTCAAATATGAGTATTAATAGATTCGATTCGACTATATTTCAAATCATTCAAATAGTATAAATAAATAAATATACACTAATACACCCCTAGTTGTTTGTATACCTCGGATTAAATATTTAATGGTCAAGATCCTTGTAATATCAAACAAACTCAATCTTATTTATTCAAATAGTATAAATAAATAAATATACACTAATACACCCCTAGTTGTTTGTATACCTTGGATTAAATATTTAATGGTCAAGATCCTTACAATATCAAACAAACTCAATCTTATCTATTTTTATCAATCACCTTATTCATCACCACATACACTCAACGCTACTTTCAATTTCATTGATCGTCCTCATCTTCATATATCACATTTGTCATCCAGTAGTGTAAGACAAAGTGTTATAGGCTTCCAGTGTTCATCTTCCTTTCCAGCATCACAAGTTTCATAAGTTTAGAGCGTCAGTCCAATATTTTCCCTTCTTCAAGTATATTCCTTTTGAGGACGTTGCTTCCAAATTTGTACTCATAGTTTAAAAAAATTGTAATGTTCGATCTTTAGAAAACTTGTTCAAAAAATTTTACTATTATCAAATTTGGATTCATGAAATATGTTAGCGAGTCAAATACAAATGTTTCTTAAAATTTGAATTATATACGAATTTGAATTTGAATAAATATCATTTCAAATGAATTCGAATCGAATAATGAAATATTTGCTTTGATTTGATTTGTATACACCCCTACATTTATTGCACCCTCTAGCCATGGACACGATACGATCTAGTATGACGGTCACCAAAACCTCTTCTGTCTCAGAAGTAAACAGTGACGATATTGATTTTGGAACCGGTAATTCTTGTTCAGTTTCGGTCTATTATTTCATTTTATATTTTGGATATAAAAAATGACATGGCTAATTTTTATGTCTACATGTAATTGTTACTCCCTCCGTCCCAGAGTATTTGTCCACTTTCGTTTTTGCACACCATCCAATGCACTTCTTTAATTCATTTTATCTTGTAATTTGTAAATTAAAAAATTATAGAAATTATATATTAATAATCTATATGTTAAGACAAATCAAACAATATCACACATGACTATATTTAGGCTTACACATTGAGAGAATTTGATAAGTCAAAGTGCTTAGATGAACAGTTTCAAAAGTCAAAAGTGGACAAATATAGCAACGGAGGTAGTATTTACTACTCCGTATGTAATAGTGAAAATTATGTAGTGCAAGTATCAACTACATTTAATGTCATTATAGTTAAAAAATGATAAGACAAATATTCATAAAAAAACCTTTCAAAAGATCTACTCTCTCCGTCCCACAAAAAACTTCCCATTTTGAATAGTATTTAGCCAAATATTTTCACGCTTTAACTACAAATTGTGAGAAAAGTATATTGAATTATAAAATAAATTTAATATAATTGGATTCGTCTTAGGATCTAGTTTTGATATCCCAATTTTTTAGCATTTTTTATTTAGATTATATATAATTTATGGTCAAAGCATGTAACTTTTTGACCAATTTATGGTCAAAATGAGACCTTTTTTATGGGACGGAGGGAGTAATAAATCGCTCACCTAAAACAATAATTTACAATTATAAAAAATTGAGTAAGTCTTTCGTTTGAACAACCACTTCCATCCATGGTTACATCCGCGTAGTTTTGTTTATCCATGTCATATTCTGCCTCTTGTGCTAAACGTCTCATCAAGAGTCAATCTCGGTTGCAAACTAGTATTATCTCTAGTGATTCAACATCGAGGAACTTCATAAGTCGATCAAAACATTGTCTATAGAACTAATTTCTTATTACAGGATTACCATTGAAATTAAATTTGATCAGGCTCTAGTAACCAAATTCCAAACATGTAACCAGTACCGGGCGGCCCAATTTCCGGTACCGGTTCGCCTCCCCCACCGTCCAGTGATGGTGCCAAAACTACCAATTCCAGTTTCGATTCAGAACTGGCACTGTGTCCAATCGTGACTCCCTTCGATCAAGATGGAAACTCTGGATCAGATCAGGTGCATATTCGATCATTTTAAGTTCAGATTACATCAACTTTGGTTAAATTTGGAAATTCATGTTCATGGTCGTGTGTGCGTGTGCGTGTGCGTGTGGGTGTGTGTGTGTGTGTGTGTGTAGTGATAAGTAAAACTTTTATCCCAGTTTGATTTACAATGATTGACTGAAATTATTTTTAATTTAATTTATTTGATTATTGACATAAAATTACTAAAAAATAAAATTTATATACTTAAAACAGTTATATGCATGAACAGTCCTTGTGGTCATTCATAAATGAGTAAATAGTCCTCGAACTTTTAAAGATTATAAAATAGTCCATGTGATAAAAAACTATTGCAAAATCATTCCCCTATTAGAGAAATTGCTAAATGTGCACATGAAATGTGTATTATGCAAATATGAATTTCAGTTGTGATGTGAGGATATTTCTTTTTCCGGAAAATGAGCCAACAGAAACAGGTTCTCCTCGATCAGACTTCAAACCAAACAACAGAAAATGGAAAATAACTTGAGGAAAACAACTCATTTTCCAAAGGTTAATTTCCTCGTTTCCAAACGATTTTATGGTGAACTGTTATCATCAATAAACTTAATGGCCCATACATTAAGTTGTGATGAGACAACAAACTACAATGGAGTCAAGTCTGGGGTATATGTGTCTTTGGTGCAAGATAAATCATGTTACCCTTTGCAGTCTTGTGCCATTCCCCAGATTGTGAACATTTTTTGGGTTCATGTTTTTTCCCTGGCCATGGAATGTTGATTTGATTCTTTGGATGCTTTCTGCATTTCAAGAAAAGTTGTGCCACGCCCGGTCTACGAAGGGTTTGGGAACACCAATTATACACCTCGGCGTCTGCCAAATGCAATAGAATTAACAACATACTCAAACTATCTCTCATTAAAAACTCTATAAAAAGAGACACTTTCATTTAGTCTTAAACTAAGTGAGGTCAGCAAAGCACATGATTTAGGGACCAAAGGGGTGTACCTTCTGATATGCATTTATAGAAAGTATAAAGTAATATAACAAAAGGAGATTTACTTAGGCAGCCGAATGTAGGATTGTTTTTTTCATTTTGTAGAGCCTTCTTTGTCATTGGGCATCCTCCTCAAGTATCGTTGGATGATCTTTCCAAAAATTTGGTTCGATTATATTACAATGTTCAACCACAACTTTCTTATAACATTCTTCTATTGCACCGTTGGGACTGCATGCTGCTTTTATTCCCTCCTGGATACAACAAAACCCCCACACAAACATTTATTGAAGAAATCCTGATGTAGAAATATACACTCTGAAATTTGGAAGAACGGAATCACAATATATATACTCCGTATATTTTAATGATTATCAACTTGGATACATCTGAAGTATATAAGTTAGCTATTCAGTGTTCAAAGAATCTGGCTAAAGTGAGCCCGAGATTCTTTGTAAGACCATTGTGTTTAAGGATCTATTTTTATTTAAGTGTTTAGTACACATGCAATAGTTTTTCAAAAACATATGCTTTCTCCTTTATTTGATAAGCAAAGAGAGAAATTTATTTCCCCTAGAAAATTATTTTTGCATTGAGGAGAGGAAAATCATTCTTGTTCTGCGACTTGAATAATTAATTTTAATCCCCATTTCATATGTGTTCTGCATAACTTTTTTGCAGGCATATAATGATAGCTTATGGAGATGGATGTTTTTTGCATCACCATTATGAGAAAAAAAATGGAAGTTGACAAAACTCCGACCTAAGAAGTAAGACAAGGAAACATACTTGCAAAATTGCAAACACTCCTTGTTACCTATCTAAACAAGATTTTACTTCTTTAATGTAAAAAGTGAAAAGGTAAAGTATATTAATGTCAAGAAAAGCAGGGAAAGGCATCCATATCCATTCCCCTGTGGAGCCAAAGACTCACTATTTTTTTGGCTTTGGGGTAGTGATCGAATTAAGAAAATTGGATCTTTAAACTGTTTGCACTTCTTGCAATTGTGAAGTTGCATGCAACTTTCGACACTCATCAAGGGTATATATATATATATTATATATATATATATGCGTGTAAGTATGACTGAGCAAGGACGAGGGCGAGGTTGGTAGGTGGTGACTTTGACCACTTCTCGTTGGAGATAGGGTTACATCATGGTCTGCCCTTAGTCTTCTATGTTTGAACTGATGATGGATGCTCGGACGCAGCATATTAGACCAGGGAGGTACCCTGATGCATGTTATTCGCGGAGAACATTGTTCTAATTAACAGGACTCGTAAGGAACTCAATGGGAGTGTGGGGCCAGTCTTGGAGTCCAAAGGTTTCTAAGAGCATCCCCAACCATTGAATTTTGACTTGTTAAATGTCATAATTTGGCAATCCATTTCAACTTTTATGCTCCAAACACACTTGGTAAATTTGACTTTGGCTTGTTATAAACAGCAAGCCTCTCAAAATATAGCAAACCATGATATTGATTAAATACTTGATTTCTCTCTTTTTCTTTCTCTCATTCACCTTTTCAAAATATTTAGTTACTTCTACTCTTTAATTTTTCATTTTTTGTTAAGTTTTTTCTCTACTCTTTGATTGATATTCATTAAATGTTTAAAATAGTACTCTGTATATTTTATAAATTTACCTAAAGTTAAATATTACTCCAGTCTCCATATTATTTTTTTGAAATTATTATTTTTAGATTACATACTTATTAGTTATTGTTTATTATATAAAATAATAATTTAATAATGATTAAAAATAGTGTATTATAATAGTGAAAACAATATAATACTATTGTTAGCTAAATTATAGCAAGGGAAGAAGTCTCCTAGAAGAAGTCTTAATACTATTCAAGTAGGGGTACAGTCTGCGTGCGCACACAATCTAGACCCCACTTTTGTAGGATTTTATTGAGTATGTTGTCCTCCTAAAGGGTGTGTCATGTATTTGTGTATTTATGTATGTATGTGTGTGTATGCATGCATGAATACTATGTATGTATGTATGTATGCAAGCATGTGAGTGGCAGTGTGTGTGTTTTGCAAAATCATGCCCCATAGTACAAAGCAACAAAGGAATTACCACATCCCAGAAGACAGAAGACCCCTGACGGAAAATTATTGGCAAACTGTGATAATCAATGCCATATCTGGAGAGCAGATCATTTTTTTCCCGAGTTTGCGTACCCTACAAAAAATATACATTCAGTATAGAATCTAATGCTCAATTTGTTGGTGGGGGCTGTCACAGTGTGTTTTGCACTATTCCCACACCTGATACAAATGAGCTTATGTACTGTATGTCTGTATTGAATAACAAAATTATATTGTTTCACAAAAGTGAGCAAAGATAGGTGTTCAAGTTGTCAAACTATATTGTTTGGCAAAAGTGCAAAACACTAGGTGTTTGGTCTCTAACAATGCAAAGAGCATGCTTGGCATTGATTACACTTTTAGAAAAGGTTATTATTTTGAACACATGTTCCAAGAATACCACAGAGATGCCTCTCAGCTTCTGCTTCTTCATCAGTAGCTGAGAATTGACCCAAAATAACACTACCAAACATTACCAGATTGGTTCTATCCATTGCAACAGTTGAGAACCTGTCACCAGGAACATTGCCAAACACTCTCAAAGTTTGTTTACATCACACAATTGTGGTGAGTCTTCCATGGAAGCCTGGACCCTCTTCACTATAAAAGGATGCTTTTGTGTACCAGCGCCCCTTTTTATTGTGCTCCGTACACAACATGAAAATATTTAATGTTCATTCATTATCTTGATGTTGATTATATTGACTTACTTTCAAAATTAATGCATGTGCAATGAAACTTATCTTGATGTATTGTGCATATAGCCTTATTATTTATAAACAATGCATGTGATTTTCTAATGCCAAAATACGATTTTCAAAACTTAAATTAATTAGATCTTATGCACTGAAAGTAAAAAAGCTTCAACACATTGAATTCTGAACTGTAATATTCCCTCTGCCGCACTATTTCTGTCCCGTTTTACCTTTTTTGTCTGTCATACTATTTTTATCTCATTCCATATTTGGTCATCTGGTTCACATTCATTCTTATTTTATCTTAGTTTTGAACAACAGTATCACCCACACAATCTAACTTAACTTCTGTGTCACTCTCTCACCTCCCAAAAGAGTGAGATGGGGGGAATAATTGATTTTAACATCTCTAAAGTTGGCTCTTATTATTATTATTATTATTCCAAAAATCTGATACATGGCGCTGATGGAAACCCTAGAAATTCTACAGAGTAGAGTTAATACCACTCTACATATTTTATCATCATTATCATCACCTTAATCCTAGCTAATTGGAGTATGTGGCATTAACTTTGTAGCGCTAATTACTTGTATAAAACTAAGGAACACCATGAATTAAAGCAAAAAGCAATAAAAATGCTTTATGGCAGGTGCCCTTCACAACCTTCATAAGAAGAAATAATAAGATAAACAACCTAAAACTGTCTTCACCATAGCTACATTCCACATGCAAGAAAAATGTTATGAGATAACAATGAGCTGATATATTTGTTATTGTCAAATTCGAATACACAATCGATATTGTAAATTCAACCTACAAATCATGAAACAAGACTTTAGTTGCACTCCATCGATCTTGTAAAAAGGTTTCAAAATACTTATTTGTTTGTCCAAAAATAAGGTCCCACTTTCCTAGTAACCACTCAAATTACACCTTCTTCATAACGGTGCCCGGTAAAATGTGGAACCTTAATTTGGGATAGGGTGTGTGTGTGTGTAGTATCTTTCTAAGGGTGGAGGTAAGGTCTTTTTAAATCTTGCCCCTGGAACCTACTTCAAAGTGAGAATTGCTATGCTAGTATGCTTGTTTGGTTGGGGTGGCTTGGTCCACATTGATTCTATGGTTGATTCTTAATGTAAAAGAAGACACCAACTTCTCACAATATACAGGTGAGCAAAATACATGTTATAAATGCAAAATACAAAAAAAAACAAAAAAAAAACACATGCACCTTAAGTTGCTTCTGGGCCTCAATTTCGCTCTTGCCGGACTTGACAAGTGTCCAAAAACATGTGTTGTACTGATTGTTAATGTGACCTGCATGTCCCGAAATGGAAAAGAAGGGCATCATGCCTTAAACACATTGTTTCACTAGATCAAAGGAATCACATAGCATAATGGCGGTTAATGTGATCTGATCCATTTGCTTGGAAGTTAAAAATGAAATAAGTACTTACAGTCAACTTGCCTCCAAGCCAAATAATCTTGAAGAATTTTAGAGGACGGGTAGCAAACAGCACGCCCATCAAAGTATGGTGGGTATCTCAAATCTTTTTGGGGGAAAATATCCTTCCACCGCATGATGTATACAGAAGAGAAGAGAGAGACAATAGCAGAGACTATTTCACTGCAGAAACGGTTACAGGTAGCCAGTAAATAGTCAAAACAAGATTTGGCATCAGCCCACAAAAAATTTACTATCTACCATTAGAACCCTTGCATAAGAAAGCCAGGTTTGTTAATGATTTCTTTTTCCAATTACACACAAGCAGAGAAATTTAGGACTAAATGAATGATTCTGAAGGTCTACCTAGCACGCCTTTCATAGAGAATGGAGTCTTTCTTCAAAACAAAGCTGAAAACAATGAATTAAATCCATTATAAAGTGGAAAATACAGAAAAACTTAAAAAATAAGATCATAAAGAAAGTATTACCTGTACTCGTCGCTAACCCCGTACGAAAAGACTATATCTTTAAATTCCTCCACCAATGCAACCGCACAAGAGTTCATTAGTTTCAAAGCTTGCTCATCATTTGGTTTGTCAAATTCATGATCATCACAAAACCTATAACATTATTTATAAAAAGTTTATTGCTAATTGTATTTTACAATTTGAACAGAATAAAAATGCTTAAAAGAGTAAAAGACAAGTAACAAACTATACACATTAGAAAAAATTTAGCATCTTAAAGAAGAAACACAAAAGGTTGTAGGGTAGAGTAACAAATCAATTAATAGTTCAATACAAATCATAGTTGAGGAAAGTTGATACAACAATAATCCCAGACACTAAATAACTAACCACTTTACACGTAATTTGAATTGGTCAGTTCCACAATGTTTGAATCAATGGCAAGTTTGATGCTCCCTCCATCCCCCTTTTATCTTCCCATTTACTCTTTTGGATGTTCGGACGTTCCTAATTCATCTTCCCATTTGCATTCAAAGAATCAAACTAGTAATCTATAAGGTGCAGTTGCCAGAGAATTCAAGAGTCCATCTGGTGTTTCATGTATCTCTTTTGTGAAGAAAAATGGGTCAGCAAGCAGCAGTGCAAGCTTACCTACCTCCTTGCAATGATGTGGGAGTTGAATGAAGGATTCAAGGCTTTCCCAGCTGATACACTACAGGTCAGTTGCAGGCCCTGCCAATACTAAGATGTTTGAAGTCAAGCACTAATTGAGTGGGACAATTTGCTTCAGGAAGAAGAATTCTATAGAGCTTATTGAAGACAAATTCTCCGGATTTGAGGCTAGAGGACAAGGCATTTCCTCAAGGGAAGGGGATGATGGGTTATGGGTTTACCAAAGGCATAGGTCCAAACCAATGTACTAGAAATTCATATTTGGTATGGAGTAAATGATTGTTGTTCTATACCCAGTCATAGTCTCTTTACTAGGTATGATTGTTTGTCGTAGTCCTATTTAGTATTACATGGACTAGCCACTTGAGGATTGTTTATCTTAGTCCTAATTTCTTTTAGGAATATCATAGAGTAGCTTGAGCCTATAAAGAAGGCGTAAAAGTGTTACCTCTTATTCTTTGGGAATATAGAATTCCATCTTTCACCATAATTGCAATTTGCAACCTAGCTTAATTGCTACCACTTTTATTGAGGATGGAGGGGAAGCTATGTATCGCAACCTATCACTGATATTACATAGGGAGGGGAAGCTATATATCCAAGAGAAAAGCAGACATTAAAGAGAGAAGAATAACATTTACCCATGGAAGTGGCAACCATCAATTCGGACAACAATCCATGTAGAGGGCATCAATTTGCCTTCATATTGGAAAGATTTGATATACTCGGGTTTAATATTTTTAATGCATTCTCCAAAAAGACCAACATGTTCAACAAGATACTGGTGATGATTCCAGAAGCTTCCAGCAGAGATATTTTCTGAATGAACAATAATAACTTTCCACCTCTTCCTTTTAACAGGAGTACCATTTTGCTGGTATTTCTCAATACATTCCACCTGAATCGTAAAAAAAAACAATGTATTAGTTGGTCCTAAATATTCTATTACAATTGTAGGCTATTTACGTACTACACTACATGCTATATTCAATTAGGTGGTGGTGGAATCAAATGGTGTTTGTTTGGATACTGGTTCATGATTTAGTGATTTACAGGGGAATATCTAAAAAGTATCAAATGGCATTTCCTAGTTTCAAAATGCAGAACACTTCACCCCAAACTCCCAGTGCGTGCTTTTGATATGATGAAAGAGTTATATAGAGCTACAAATACAAAAAGCTGAAAGAGTTTGATAATGAGGCAAGCTAACAAAAATCTAATTTCAGGAACACATAAAACTCTGATAGTTTGTAATGTGGAAGTAACATGAAATAGAATCAAATAGTGTGTTATAATTCCCACCTAAACATGAGAAATTTTGTGTTAGGTCATTTAGAATTTTAGATTGTTTAAAGATATAAAGGATGCAATACACGAAGTAGATTCAAGAATTGCACCTCTTTCCGAAGAGCACATGTTCCCTGACGAAATATCTCCCTGACATCTTTTTTGTAGTTAATACCAAACTGTTGAAAAAGCAATTCATTTCTCTCCTGCTTCTGACTTCCCTACCAGCATAATAAGGAAAATAATAATCAATATAGTATTGCAGTTGAATCAAAACCAACATTCTCTACATTTACACTCATTTTGAATTTTTAACCAAATACATCATCAAAATTTTGTCATAGACCTATGAACCAATTCCTGAAGAAAACAACTTGCAAATCAGGTTTTTCAGGTTTGGCTCACAATCAATTGCCCTAGACAAGGATAACATGAAGCTGTTAAAACTCGGCTCTGAGTCCTCTGATACTTATTTGTCATAGAAGTGAGTAATGTTCTAACACTTATTTTCTCATGTAAAAGAGTTATAGAGTATAGTGCCCCCAGTCTACCACCTTAAGAAGTGATGTGGCATCCATTTCAGACTTTCCACACTTTACCAGCTCCCAAAAACAAGTAGCGTACTGATTTTTAATATGACCTGCAACAAAAAAGGACCCGGTAATTTATAAAATAAGCTGGTGGTTTCCCTTTGCAATGTTTGATAGGAAATGTTCACATGGTGAACTCACACTCATTTTGTCTCCAAGCAAGATATGCTTGAAGAACCTCTATTGATGCACAACAAACCACACGTGATTGAAATGATGGAGGGGCCTTTAACTCCATTTGAGGAAAGAAGTCCTTCCATTTGGTGACAAATACAGATGTGAAGAAAGACACAATAAGGGAATATATTTTGCTGCAAATAAAGACTTAGAGTGAGATATTATGAATAATCTAAGCTTATCTAAAAGAGGCGGCGGATATCCTTTCCTCTTTCTCCATATTCTTTATTTCTAGGGTAAAAAAACATGAAGACGATTATGTAAGGAAAAACCTGGCACGCCTTTTGTAGAAATTGGTCTCTTTCTTAAAGACAAAACTGTAAAATAAAAAGGAAAAAAGATTATCCACAGTGACCTGATCTGCTGAGTAATGAGTACTTGTCAGCTGAAGAAACGTAACACTCAGCACACCATACCTAAACTCGTCACTGAATCCATATGCAAATGAGATGTCTGGGAACTTTTCTAGGAGTGCAGTTGCGCACGCATTCATTAAATGCAACGACCTTGCATCATATGGCTTTTCAAACTCATGAAATTTTGAAAACCTGGTAAAATCTTCATAAAATGATAACTGACGCCCAAACAAAATGTTTATTAAACACATAGCTTTGACATCCTCCGTAAGTGACACTAAAAGAGGAGAGACAATGGTTTGATAAGTAGTTAACTAGGTAGTTAAGTTTCATCCCATTCAATACTCTAGCCTACCATTGATATCAACTAAAAATCTACATTGAATTACCACTTTGTTACAGCGAACCATTTTTTATATGACACCCAACACAACACACAAGAATGCACAGTAACTAATAACTATATACTTTCTTTGTCTCAAAATTAAATTCTCCCTTCCTTTTAGGAGTCTCCATAATAAAAAATCTCATTCCTTTAATGAATGCATTGGTTGGTGCATATTATTTCTATCATCTACATATATGTCAACCACCTAATTCAACTTTTTTCTTATTTCCTTGAAAAATCAAATGAGAGGCAGGGAGTATGTTTGATGCCACATGATGTATATTACTCCCTCCGTCCTATAATGTTCTTCCCGGTTCATTTTACGAGGTTTGACCGACTTTATTTTCAATTCAATTTATTTGATTGTAGGTATAAAATTAAAAAATAAAATTTATATACTTAAAAACTATATCAAAAGTTCTACAAAACAAGTGGTGACAAGACTATATTATTTTATCAAATACCCAATGAAAATAGATAAAGAAAATGATTAAAGTTTTACCGGGTAAAAAGTGAGTGGGAAGAACATTTTAGGACGGAGGGAGTAGTTGTTACTGTACTTAAGAATGAATTCATTGATACGGAATATGCAATTATTATGTCACTCATACTACACGGCCATGCACACACAGAAAAATAAATAAATAAATAAATAAAGCATGTTTGATTTAAATTTCCAACCCATGCAACATACGAACATTACTTTTGAAAATTGCGGCCATCAATGTGCACAACTATGATGTTGGGTATCATGACTTCATCTTCAACTTCAAATGACTTCACATATTCATACTTGCTATTTGCCATGCCCTCCTCTAACACTCACCACGTACCACCTAAGCCGCATGGTAGTGGAATTGAGAAAGTTTTCAAAAGTTTTGACTATATATCTTCAAAACATAGAGTCTTCAAACATAAAAAAGAAGGTTTACATATGCTAATTTTATTGCCATCATTGCAAATAATACACGATATAATTTCATAACTCATGCAAAAGGTATATAGGACAAGTTGCCAACTTAGTTATTTAATCTATTATCACTAGCCACACTTTATCATATCTTACCTATTTTTCCGTACAATCATCATCCGTTCACTAATCATTTATAAATAAGTATTAATGTATTATTTTACCAGTAGAGCATCATTGAATGCAATCACTTGTAAAACGAAGTGATAGAATAGGAGCATGATGTGTAGCCAGTAATTTAAAATCATTTCTTATTCAGTATGGTGATTTTTTTATTAAAGCAACATATAGAAATTACTCTCTTCAGTAAACAGTAAAACCAGTTTTTCTTTCAAGCCTTTACCCTCAAGACACGAAAACCAAATGAGTACTGAAAACAGAAAAGTGACCCTAAAATCATTATGCTAGCATACAAGCATACAACACCTGGTTGTTTAGACAAAATGTAGGCAATAAACAAACGTGACAAGTGTCATGTTGTTTGGACAAAACAAAGTCCGGAAAGAGGCAAAAAATGATTTTTCAAAAAAGTAACAAGTGGAAATGCATATCAAGACAACATGCCGAAACTGGCATGACTTACATCCATTTAAGTTCGAACAGGCAGACCTCTATTTCAAGTTGAGTTCAAGAGCAAGACATTATAAAAACTCTTTTAGTAGTTCATAAATACTCAATTATTTTTTAAGAAGAGCTTTATTTCCATGATTACAGTTTTTACGTCTTTCTTCTTCTCCCGCTCCCTTTTTATTGCTTTGCTTGTGTGTTTCTTACGCTTGAATTTACACATGATTGGCATGTATGAACACATGTCCGGTAGAGATGGCACGCTCACTTGGTGGATAGAAAAACATTGCTTGTATTTGTATATGTATGATATATGGAAGATCATTGCCTTTGTTTAATGCATATACTGAAAATTAACATAACGCGGAGTAATAAATCTAAGCCCTTTAAATCTTGTTGCCTTATGTCCTTTTCGGAATACCTTTGCATCCTAAATTTAAACTCAAATCATTGAAAAACAAGTAATACGTTAACTTTAACTAACATTTTACTAACTAAATTTATCTTTTTTAAAAAAAAGCCATAGTATAATGATATGGAAATTAACCTAAATACAAATGCCAAATTCATAGTTCACAAATTCACGAAACACAAATTTATATATCACACAGGATACATCAAATTGATAACGTTCTAATATAATTACCAAATATAAATTATGGAATGCGAAGTATTTATGATTTTAGGTTGCTAAATACTATGACATATACCTGGTGGCGGTCGATGGAGCCACAGGGAAGCTGCACGAAGGAGGCGCACTAGATAGCAGTCAGCTAAGGTCTGCTGTCTGCAATATTTTTTTAGGATATATAATAAATAATACTGAGTAATACGGAGTACAAAATATAAATGGTATTGTATTCAATTTAGGGCCCGTTTGTGAATAGCACTTTGGATTACCATTAGCGTTTTAGATAAAATGTTATCAGTGCAGATTAACTTTGAAAACACTAACGTTAAATGTTGCCCCTTAATAAACTTTTTAAAACGCTAACGCTAAAATCTAACGTTATTCCCAAACAGGCCATTAGATTTTAATAGATTGTCTAAAATTCATGTGTTATATGAAATCTATTGTGTTAATCCTTTAGGTTGAATTTTGAAGTCTAGATCGATGAAGAAGAAACTAAAAGCTCTCTATACAGTAACAGCAATGGCGAGAGGTTCTAGAATCAAGTCAACTAAGGCTTGGTAAAACCGAGATCGATCGAATTGTGTCAATCGAAATATTAAAATCAAACACAAAAAAACGAACCAAACCATTTCTTTTCTGTTTTGTTTTTTTTGTTTTTGTGTTTGAAAATCAAACCAAATTGAAACGTTAAAAATTGAACCCTACTAACGATATGTTTATTTTTTTTCTTTTTCATTTCTTTTTTTAGAAAGTATTCTTTTTTAATAAATTATTTCTTGTTTGAAAATTTTCTAATTTCTATTTTTATTCTCTGATTAGATATTGATGTTATGATGATGAAATAAAAGTCTTATTATTTATAATTCTATGATACTCTTTAATTTAAGCTTCATTTTTTCATTTTGTTTTCACATCTATTACAAGTCTTGGTAAGAGTTACATGTTGTCAAATTATTCTTCTTTCCTATATTTTTTGATAATTTGTTTGGTTAGAACTATAACATTATGGCCCTTACTTCACAATTTTTCTTGATCGCTCACAACCATAATTGTCAGTCAGCAAACTTTAAGTTGCACTGGGACGCGTGCGGGTACATATACGGGGACGAATTCGGGATATGGCATTTTTAAAACTTTCAGGATGCGGAAACAGCAAGGATTCGGCAACAAAATTTTAATTAAAATATTAAATACAGACATGTAAATGTTAGAGTAAAACATCCAATGACGTACTCTAGCCACTAAGAGCATCTCCAACGGAAGAAATTGAATTCAACTACTATAAGGCCCCATTTGGTACATGGAATTCAAACTATGGAATTGGAATTGAGGACTTCAATTCCAATTCTGGTGTTTGGTAGCACAAAAATTATGTAGATTTGGAATTGATAGTGCAAGAAATGAATTGAAATTGGCAGAATTCAATTCCGTGGAATTGAATCCAATGGAATTTCAATTCCAATTCTATTCCAATTCCGTCAATTCCGTATACCAAACGGACCCTAATGCTTTTTAGCTTTTGAACAGTAATTTAAATGTCCACTTGCTCCAACCGTGTCCTTTTTAGATCTACACGGCATTTTCTCTTTTCATCCACAAACTCCAACCATACCTCCCCAAACTCCCTTTTCTCCTCTAATTATAATAAGGAATAGTTTTTTTTATTAAATAGAGTGTATACAGTTGCTTTCATTAATAGAAACTCTAACTCCAATTATAAAGAATATACCAGATGATCTAAAAAAAACCTGATTAGGCGAATAGCAGCGACGCAGATTGGCACTAAAAGAGAAGAATCAAAAGACCGAGTCGCAGGTCCCTCCTCAAGTCGCCGGCCTTAAGCTCTGCAGCATGCCAAATTACCTGTGAAGCGAGTTTTGTTTAAACAACTAGCAGGTCCTTGGGCTTGCATTTTTTGAAAGATATTAGGATCCCTCACATTTTATTGTAAAGACTAAGAAGGAATATTCTGTCTATTATGTTATTAATGACCCTAAAAATGTGTTTTTCTTATTTTTCCCTTAATGTTTTATGTTAATAAAGTTCAGGGACTTTACTTTTTATAAACCTTTTTATTTATTTTTCTTTTCCAAAAAGTCTTTTTCAATTCCTTATGCAAGTTTTTTTTTCAAAAATTGAAAATTGTTCGTCTAATATACAAAAATAAATGTAATTAAAATGACTACAAGGAAAAAATAAGAAAACTACATTTTTTAGTAGTCATTAATGGAATAATGGATAGAATATAAAATGTAAGGACCCCAGGTGTCTTTTTGAAAATGCAGGGACCTGCAAGTTTATTCCGCAAGTAATTTTTTGTTGCAGGTCCCTCATCAAGTATATAACATGTATTAAATAACTTTCCAAATTTTAATCGGTCAAACTTAAATAAATAAATAAACAGGTGAAGCTTTTCCAGATCTGTACAAAATACAGCTTGCAGATTTCCAGATCCGTCCCCTTGGAAGTTGCCGGCGAATCCGTTGCATTAGAGGCAGTTCTGGTTCGCCAATTGCCGTCCCTGCCAGTGAATCCACCCCCGTGCCGATTCTGGTGCGCGAGACAGCGGTAGAATGAACCTATTTGTCACTAAAAACCTACTAGGTTAGTGATAGTTTTGTTTTCTTTATATTTATATATTTTGATATTCCATGAGCTTCTTTTGACAACCATTGTTGTCATATTATAACAACAATGACCTACAGTAGACCCCCATGCCCCCCACCTCAACAACCCCCCTACCCCCACCCCAAAACGTCGATTAGCTACAATAACACTATAGCTAATCGGCTTTTTGGGGTGTGGGAGAGGGGCACAGGGCTACTGCGTGGGGGCAAAGATGGGAGCAGGGGGTTGAGGGAGTATGAACCATCATTCTTTTCAAACAGAGCACCGTAAGTCTTGTTGTCATAATATGACACTCTTTCTTGTTGTCAAAACAAGGGGGTTGATTAATGTTACTTCTCATTTTTATTCATTCCATTAAAAAGTATGGAATGTTGCATCTTATAAACTTTCTATTACTTTACTTTTAAAATTAAAATTTTCTAAAACTACAAAAAATAATAGAGATTTTACAAGATGCAACATTACAAACAATTTTCAATTTTTGAAAAAAAACTTGCATAAGGAATTGAAAAAGACTTTTTGGAAGAGAAAAATAAAGAAAAAGGTTATTAAAAAGTAAAGTCCCTGAACTTTATTGAAACCCCCAATCGGTTCAACACAAAATCAACCAAGAATTCCACAGTCAAACGCAAGAATTATACAAATTATACAAACAAGATCCTATTCTACGAACTAACGCTAACGGAAGATATTTGGGCAACGAATCACCTCAATTACGAAGAAACTTGGAATAAGAGAGAGAGAAGAACTGCCGCTGCCCTCGTCGCGGCTCGCGCGCACGCCGGAGGAAAGAGAGAGAAATGGCCGCCGGCGCTGGTTACCCTGGGACGGAGCTCGCCGGCCGGTGCTGCAGTGGAGCCGCTGGACGACAACGACGAACCGAGCAGGGGAAATCGACGGAATTCTTCGCAGGGAACCCTTTACGGCTTTACCTATTTAATACTACCTCCCTCCGAGTTTGACTTTTACCAGTCAAACTTACAAATCCATACTTTATTTAAAAAGTCATCGATTCATGAGATGGTTTTCCCGCCCATTTGATATTGCAATAAAAATGGTAATTGTTCACTTAAAATGGTAATAACTCAATTACACTTAATAATTAAATTAAATAATTACATTTACACGACCAACACCTAATTATGGCAATTGATGGCAATTAAATTAAATAATTACATTTACACGACCAACACTTAATTATGGCAATTGATGGCAATTAATGTTACACGATTATACAATAATAATACTAACGTGATTAATTTAAATTGGAAATGATTAAAAAAGTAATTAATTAAAATTGGTAATTAATGAGAAATCTACTTACCTTTATTGTAAACTTACTTTTATTACTTTTATAGGTAAGTAATTAAAATTGGTAATTAACGAGAAATCTACATACTTTTATTGTAAACTTACTTTTATTACTTTTATTTTAAACTTACTATTTTTCGGTTAACAAAACGGTAATTGATTATTACCCATTAATAAGGTAAGTAGATTGGTTAAAATAAAGGTTAACAATACCGGAATTAACTATTACGCGGTTAAACAATAATGATTAATACTAATAAATAATTAGTCAAAAAATTTGGTATTAACACAGTTCCTTTTTTAATAATAATAATTATGAAAAACTTTTCAAACGCGATTGTAAAGAAATAATAATAATACTAACGTGATTAAATTAAATTGGAAATGATTAAAAAGGCAAGTAATTTAAATTGGTAGTTAATTATTAATCTACTTACCTTTATTGTAAACTTACTTATATTACTTTTATTTTAAACTTACTATTTTTCGATTAACAAAACGATAATTGATTATTACCAATTAATAAGGTAAGTACATTGGTTAAAATAAATGATAACAATATTGGAATTAATTATTACACGGTTAAACAATAATACTAAATAATTAGGTAAAAAAATCGGCATTAATACAATATTTTTTAATAATAATTCCTTTTTTAATAATAATAATAATGAAAAACTTACCAAACGTGATTATAAAGAAATTCATACTTTATTTACAAAGTCATGGATTCGTGAGATGGTTTTCCCGCTCATCTGTTATTGCAATAAAAAATGGCAATTGTTCACTTAAAATGGTAATGACTTAATTATAATAAATAATTAAATTAGATAATAACGTAAAAATGGCCTCCGCCAACCTAACTAGGGCAGTTGCTCGCAATTAATATTACACGGTTAAACAATAATAAATAATTATGTAAATAATTCTATATTAATACAATTTCTTTTTTAATATTTAATAATAATAATGGCCTCCGCCAACCTAATTATGGCAATTGATGACAATTAATATTATACGGTTAAACAATAATAAATAATTAGGCAAATAATTAAGTATTAAGAGATGGTTTCAAGAGATGGTTTTCCCGCCCATTTGTTATTGCATTAAAAAATGACAATTATTCACCTAAAATGGTAACGACTTAATAATTACATTAAATAATTAAATATTAAATTAAATTAAATTAAATAATTACGTTAAAATGACATCCGCCAACCTAATTATGTCAATTAATGGCAATTAATAATTCACGGTACTAAACAATAAAGTATGGGTTTGGAAATAATTAAAAAGGAAATGGTAAGTTGATATTACACGGTATTTCTTTTTTTGACAATTAATATTCCTCGCAATTTCTTTTTTTTTTAAAAAGATAAATTACGTTAAAATGGCCTCCGCCAACTTAATTATGGTGATTAATAATACACATACTAAATTGCATTAAATGTAAAAATGGTAATGACTCAATTACATTAAAATTAAAAACTTACGTAATAACATAATAATAAGGAAAATGCTAGAGTCACAAACATATAGTTCACAAACTTCACAAACTTGCCTTTTGTGGATTTTAAAATAAAATATCTTTTATTATTTGAGTGCATCTTATTTCTAGAAAAGTGTTAAAAAGGTAAGTTTGTAAATTTTGTGAACTGTTTGTTTGTGACTCTAGCATTACTCTAATAATAATACTAACGTCGATCATTAATTTAAATTGGAAATAATTAAAAAGGAAAGTTAAACAATTTTAATAATGAAGACAATATACCCAGAAATTATACAAATAATGTACTCCCTCCGTCCCGAAAAACATGAGAGTTTTGATTTTGAAGAAAGATTTAATAGGAGTGTATTTTGGTATTGAATTTCCAAAAATGTCCTTTGATGTGATGGGTAAAAAGATGATTTGATGGATAGATTATTAGTAAAAATGTATGATGTGATAGGTAGGGTATGAAAAAATAAGGGATGAAAGTGTCTTTTTAATAAAGAAGTTTTTCGAAATTTGTAAGGATGAAAAAAGAAAGGAGAAAAGTTTTCAGGGACGGAGAGAGTAGTATATAAAGAAGTCTTTCGAAATTTGTAAAGCACTGATGTTTTGTACCTTAAAATAATATAATCTCTATATTCTATTGCATCTCATTTTTATCATTGAAAAATGATCTGAATTTAATGACATAAAAATGACCCGTGCAACGCACGGGTGTGATACTAGTTTTAAATTTTAATTAATCTTAATTTATATTGTAAATTAGTACTTGTATAATAAAATATTATTTTAAAAAATCTTAATATGATAAATCTAATAAAATCATTTATATATTACTAGTAAAGTACATTACAGTTTTTATTTAATCGAAGCTCAAAATTTATCTAGTTTGACTCAAAAAAGTCATAATTGACAAATACACTAGGGCAGAGGGAGTATAAATTTAAATAAATTTTAGGGTCATGTTTACAATTTCTAACCATTTAGGATAAATTTAGGCCAATGACCTTATTCGGCAGTCGTATCTTGGAATCAATAAGTCTGATTTTTAGTCCGTTTGCGCGGTCGGGTTCAGAACATTGAGCCCTACAGTGTAGGCCAACTCTCATATTAAATACGCAAATTTGAAAATAAACTTTTATATTGACCGATTCAATAATTAATTAATTATATAAATTAATTAAAAAAACTAAGTCGGGTTTCAAGGCGTTACGACTAGTATGTTATAGCCCTTAAAATAGTTGGAACTTGTGTTCTGAATTTTCACTCTTCTCAATTTCTTTCAACACTTACAAAAGGTATTACCTTTTACAGTTTCTCGCCATTTTTTCCATTTTTCAAAATTTTCTAACTTATTTTAAGTTTTTTACAACTATTTCTAAGAGTAGCATATAAATTATTCACTTCCATTTTTATGCTATTTTTCATTTAAACTATTATTATGATGATTATTAAAATAAATGTATAAAAGAACTGAAGCTTTGTATAACTTGTAAGTTCACATATGAAAAGTACTGCAATAAAACTGTATATCCAAATTCATAATATAGATAGTGAGTTTATACCATCAATATCCCATGTATTTTGTTAAATGTGCATTGTTACCTTTCATTGTTTCAAAACTTACAACGTTACCCTTGTACTTTTAATATTCTTACGCAAATTTATGTCTAAACTAAAATACCCTTCAAATATTAAATAAATAACATTGATGCCTCCTATGGTTTTAGAAATAGGCACCAACACTCCATCTCATTTTTTTTCTTTATTATTTTTCTATTTTCTTCTATTTTTTTCATCATCAATATTTTTGAAGATGTTTTTTTCAAACCTTTTTCATAAATGTTTTATATTTCTTTTTTGAAACAATTTTTATACTATGTAATGATTTAATGATAAAAAATTTTGGGTTTGAAATAAAAAATCAATTAAATTAAAAATATTAAACATACACTTCATTTGTTTTAAATGAAATAATTTTATTTTGTCAAAAAGAGATTATTATTAGTTCATTTTCATGATATAAAAATCAATAAAAAAATTCACTTTATTTAAGCTAAAGCGTATTTCACATAATCTAGTTTTTAATCATTTTTTCTTCATGATTTTAAAGTTTATTAATTCATAAAGTTTTTTCAAAATTAAAATAAAAATAAAATAAAAAATAATAGAAAAGAAATTGAAGAAGAAGAAAAGTGTATGAAAAATATTTTTGTAGAATAAGAAAATAAAGTTATGAAGAAACATTTGTTATGCATCGATTCAAAAAGAATATTATGAATATATAATTACATAAATACTTTGCTTTGTATTCTTTTGGTCCCAACATATTTTAAAAAATAAGAACATTTTTTAGGAAAAGTGAAAATATTTAATTTGAGACAAATGAAGTATATTTTAAATTTTTTATTTCAAACACCAACAATTTTAATTTTTTAAAACATTTTTAAAAGCATAGTTTTGAAAAATAATATTTTCATTATTTCAAACAAAAACATTTTTCTTCTCTTTGAGAAAAAAGAAAAAAAGACAATAAAGAAAAAAAGAGTGAGGGTGTTAATGCACATTTCCAAAATCATAGATGGCAACGGAGCTATTCATCTAAAGTTTGAAGAGTACTTTAGTTAAGAGGGGCATCGACGTAAAAATTTTAAAATCGCATCGGACAACAACGCAAGTTTTAAAACCATAAAAATAATGATACACATTTACTAAACCATAGGGCGTATTGGTACAATAAAATCTACGAAAACTATCAAACACTCACAAATATTATTTGTTATCTGAACTTCGAGTGAGTTGAAACAAAAAAGGAAGGAATTAAAAGAAAATGGGAAATTTAGAGTGTAAACTATTTTAATAAAAAAACATGGAATTTAAAGGAGCCCGGTTTCTTGGCACTCGATTCCAGTGGCCACGGAGCCACTGCCCCCTACGGAGCTCCGTTCATAAAATTGATGATTCATATCTCCCAGAAACCTCCCCCCCCAAGTTCTGACCCAAACTAATCACCTCATCTTCGGCAATTGCACCTCGTAAGTATAATTGACTTTAAAGACAAAAGTTTTGACTTTATGCTTACGAGGTGCAATTGATGTAGGCA